TTTCCTCACATCCCATAGCTAATCCCTCAGCAAATCCTATCAGCTTTACCTTCAAAATATACCCGGAATCAGAACACCCCTCACCTGCTCTGTTTCCACCTCCCCGTGCAGACTTGGATGACTTCGGCTCTTGCTAGCCAGTCTCCTGCTTCCACTTTGTCTCCCTTTGGGCTCCACTCAACCTGGCAGCTGAAGGGGGTGTTTCAGCTGATGGAGAGACTAGCAAATGGCAGCCTGGGCCCTGCTCAGGGTGGAGGGTGCTGTGTGGTGCAGCGGCAACGTGAAGGTCCCTTACCCCTGGGGGAGCAGAGGCCCCCAGCCTCACCTGTGGGTCCATTAGGATAGCTCAGCTCGCTCCTTTGAGTTTATGAGTCTGTCAGTTCACAGCAGCGTAGTTTCTCTCCAGGTTCTAAAAACACAGTAATATCTGTATGTCCCTTTGTTATTGGCAGGTGGGGACAGATAAGCCTGTGTGGCCGTGCGGGTTCTTTTTTCTCTCAGCTTCAAACCAGCTGCAGCCCGCCAGTTAAGTTGCACACTGAGCAGTGGCATTGGTAGGGTGTCCATAAATGCCCCACTGTGGCACCCAGTCTCCATCACTAAACTTGATTTTTGCCCTTGTATTAGTTGCTTATTACTTGACATGAAAATTGAGTTTCAAAAGCGCTTTCAGTATCTGGTGCTCTTTTGCTTTTGAAACTAAGGGACTCCTAACTTTCCCCTGTTTTATCTGCAAACAGAATTTATGTACTTTCATCAGTGCGGCCAGTAAGTTTGCTCAGCTCCAATACCTGTGGAAGACCAGGGACTCGGGGGCCGTGAGCGCGCTGACGTGGGGCCTCGCTTCGTACACCTCTGCGAGTAAGACCGTGACTCTAATGGGGGGGTACCCTTTGCCAGCGTGGGGTGTCTACCCAGGAGTGCATTAACTTGGTGTCTAAGTGTCGTAGTCCCTTGAGCTTTAATCCTTTGCAAATAGCTATTCAGATAGAACTTCCTAGTATATCCACATTCACAAGGCTAATTTAATGCATACCACTCTGCATTTTATGCAAGATCTGTATTCCAGTTGCTAAAAAAAAAAGTGAAAGCACACTTTTCTCCAAAAATCTGGCGTAATATTAACAGTACTCTCTTGTTTGAAAAGCATGATATATTGTAGCCACTAACTTGTTTAAAAAAATATGAATGTTTATGATGTAACAGATTAAAGAGATGAGAATCATACATTGGCTTTTGAGAAAAAAACATAGTTTGCAGCAGTGGAGTTTTTCTGGAGCCACAATGTTTAGCCTCAACTTTAGAATTTCCTCTGTTCATTTGGATTCTTGCAGGAACTATCTTAAATGCATATGCTATATTTAGGTAGGAACATTAAAAAAATCAGAGCTATCATGTTGATTAGCTTTATTAATTTAGATATTTGAGTTACACTTCTTCATGTTTTTTTCTGTATTTTAAAGAACCAGTTTCTCCATCCAGGATCCTCTTCTACCCAAACCTTTTAAAAACAGTTAGCATATATTCTGGGATTTAAAATAGATATTAGCTAAATACCAAAATGTCTGAGAAGCAAGTTAATACTGATTGCTGAAAATTTTCTTTTACAGCCAGAATAATAACAACTTTAATGACCACCAACGATCTTACAAGTAAGCAAAATATTTTTCTGCCCACTTCCTTTTCAAATTCTATGCCATTTGTGCCTCCTTCATTTGTATCTTGTCTTAGGGTTTAACAGATCCACTTGGCCCCACTGGAGGCCAGCAACAATATATTACTGGTCTTTATCAGTCACCATTTATAGTATTAAGCATCGATTTGCGGTGCCTGGGATAGAATATGCACAAGATAGTAGATTCCTTTCTTCATAAAGCTTCCACTCCAGCAGTGGAAATGAACACTGACATAATCACACGATTAACTACTGAAAAACATTGGGAAATGTATTTTGAAAGAACAGGACAGGATGAGCACCTAACAGGGGAATGTGACCTGTTTGGAGGGAGCTGGGAAGATTAATTGGAGTAAGAGTGAGACCTGGAAGAGGGGAGAGACTGCTACAAGGAGCAGCATGTGCGCGGACTCAGCCTTGGAGAGAGTACCAGTCGGGCTGGAGTGAGAGTGTGGGGGTGAGTCTAAAGAGGGGGAAGGAAGTGGTAGCGGCCAAATTGTCCAGAGCCTCAGAATTGCACACAGGCAGCAGGAAGGCTTTTGAATGCAGGGGCGTGGCATAATCATTTGACTCCATGTCCTTGTTCTGTTACTTTTAAAGGGATACTGTGACAGAGGAGAAAATAAAATATACTTGGGCTAACCTAAAAAGAGTTTTCTAATTCCTTAGGCTGGGTTTTCAAATCCCAAATCAGGCATATACATTTTGGAAAAGTGATTCAAACAGATGGTGTCACCTATTCTATGAAGACTAGAACTATGTCCCTCATGTGTAGACCTTTCAAATACGTTAATTGTTATTTGAGAAATATTGCTACAGAACAGCACAAAGCATTTGCTAGTCCCTTCCCGGACGTTTTATCTTTGGCTCAAATGCTTTCTGTCTGCTCTGAGAGGACAGAAAGCATTTTGATTAGAGTTCTGGTCAAAGCATGAACTTAGGTCAAGTGGGAAAGGGAAAAGAGGCCAGAGTCTTCCCCACAGAACTTGAAGAATTTTCTGTTTAGAAAGAAGAGTCAACCATAATTAAACAACACAACAAATCTATGTGTTAAAAATTGAAAAGTCGAGACTGTTCTAATTGATTTGTTTTGTATCTAAGGTGACAGCGGTTCCTGAAAGTGATCAGTGTATCTGGGAATAACCGTTAAAAAACAGTTTAGCTATCTTAAAAGTGTTTTATAACTACAAAGATACATTGAACAGTTTCTCAACAGTTCACATGGTCCATAGTTATTTCATTTGTGGAGGGAAGCTTTGTTTTGGCTTCTACTTAGAGCAGGAGCTGATTTTGTTTCATTATGTGACAACAGTATTCCTTAACACACACTTTCTCTTTTTTTTTGACTGATCTCAGTTCTTCTACGTTTCCTGATCATGCTGGCTTTAAATATGTGGGTAACAGCTACAGTACTTCGCTACCGGAAGACCGCTGTCAAGGCTGAATGATGGATACATTATTCCTACACTAAGTGGATTTCAAATAACTGAACCAAAGGAAAAAAAGCTCATTGCTAAATCAAGGTCTTTTATAAATTTAGCCAATCATGCATGCCAAAGGTATTTTAGACTTGAAAGAGCCCACTTAAAAAACCTTGTTTGAAAGTGTCAGTTCCCCTCCCCTTCCCCATTTCATTAGGTTAAGGTGGGGCTCAGACATCTGCAGTTTGGAGAAGGTTGGTGATTGGTGGAAGTCTTCCAAGAAGCCCATTTTGAAGAGATTGCTATGACTCTCATTCTCAGTCATGATTAAGTTTCTCCAAAGAGCTAACTACATCTCCTTTTCAGCTTTCAGGATCTTTTAAGAAATCAATCCTCTCCACAACACAAATGAACACGAATGGAGTGGAATTTTGCCCAGAGTGGAATTGTAACAAATTACCAGGGTTCACTTTCTGGTACTAATGTTTAATTGTAATACAGATATAACAGGAAGGCCTTACTGTATCATAATACCATATCATACCTCCTTAGGCTCTAGCAAGCATACCAAGGCAAGTGAAAATGTTACTGGCTTGCCTTCATACACCAAAGGAGTCCTTTAACGTCATACTGTGCCTTTACGTAATTCCTAACAAAAGGTACTTGCAGTCTATTGATGAGGCAATCCTAATATACTTTGATTCCAGCACGATGCTGCCATTTTTAAAAGGGCCACACCTATACAATTACTGCTACTGGAATCTGGTACAAAATATAGCTGACCTCTACCAGGTTTTGTCTATTGAAAATATGTGCAGTAAAGGATATTGCTAGGTTCTGCCAAGTTCTCATGGATTTTATTCTCAAAGTATCATACTCTAAGCATAATGTTAAGATTATTGTACACTGTATTTTCCTGTAAAGACTTATAAACCCTAACATTTAAAACCTCTCTTTCCCCTAATAATTAAATGGCATTATTAAATGCAGTAAATAATGTTTATTATAAAATGTTTGTTTCTTATGTAAAATAAACTTTCATATTTTGAACTCTGCTGAGTCTCTTAAAACTCAACTGTTTTAATGGAATTAGTTTTAAGTTATGTAAACGGTAGTTTAAAAAAACATAAACCAGTTAATCCTTTTAGAACTTCTGCTTGGGACCAGTATAAACATAGTATCTAAAAATCGTTCATTCTGTAGTTTTAAAAATTAGTCATTTAAAAAAATCCAAGTGAATCCTTTCTCATATGCAATTATAATCTGACCATTAGTATAAATACAAGTTGTGTAATTTTTAGTCCAACAAATATTTTATTTAGATATACTTTATTACTGCTTTAAGCAGCTCCTTTAAGAATATACTATCTTAGATGAAAAGTTCTCCATTTTTCCCCTTTGAGAGGGAACATTTGAGCTACTCCAGATACTCTATACATATTATCATATTTAATCCCCCAACAATCCTATAAGTAAACAATTCTCCATTTTACAGATGTAAACATTGATGCCCAGATTGAATAACCTGTCCCAGATCAGCCAGCCAGTAAGTATACTAGAAAAGAACCCACATTACCAAAGAAATGCTTTCTAGAAAACCACGTCAGCATAATATTCCTAACAAAATAGGCACCCTGCCCCTCTTCCTTATCCTCGACACTCAAATGAGATTCTCAGGTTTGCATGGCCCTTAAAATACCGACATTAAATCAGACACAGACTCCTAGCTGAAATTCGATTTCCTGTTTCTCCATGGACTAAATGACAGGGCTGAAGATTCTACAACTCTGTACCCTTAGTTAAGGCTTATTTGCGATACCCATCTTAGGGAAGGCAAATTTTGGAAGTAAATTTTAGAAGGCTGCAGCACTCCAGGACTATTTCACAGGAAAAGTATGAAAATGCTTGTCTCAATTTCTTTTATTTATTTTTAATATAAAAAGCAGGCATAAAATACAATTACATTACTACAAAGATGCAACAAAATTTTTAAAAAATCAGGGGGGTATGATTTTCGTTCAAGGGGACAGCTGATCAAATATTTATGATTATCTAAACCATGCAGTTCATAAGTTATTACAGTTCCAAACAAAATTCATTATTATGGGGAAGGGAATCACGGAGAGGCCCCCCAAGCATAATATTCAGCACTGTCATACAGTGCTTATCTTCAAAGTGCTTTACAAACCAACTATGGTATCTTCACAACACAGGGAAACTGAAGTCTTACTCCACGGGAGGAGAGCTGAGTCAGTAGCAGTGACGACACAGGCTGAGAAACTCCGAAGTGACTTGCCCACGTCAGATTTTAGAAACATGTTATTTAAAGCATGTTTCAATAAGGTAATATAGTGTCTAAGTTTCTCTATTTACCACCCGAATCCTGGAAGAATAGATTAACAGCAGCAGCATAACTTCTGAAATTGTCATTTGGCAACCTAGAGTTTCTTCTTGAGGATCTACAGATAAACTGGTATAAAGGAGACCCGTCGGCAACAGAATGGTGTAACTCTAGCGTCGGTTAGTTCTAAAAACACTAACCTTTACTTTAGATTTATTGGTATACTTATCCTTTAGTGAGAGCATTTTAAACTTTCAGATAGATTTTTTTAAAAAATCTTGCTTCTAGATAAATTTTTTTAATTAATACTTTTCAAAAATGCACTGTACATTAATTCTTAACAGTAATCCTGGCACCGGTTTTCCCTCTACTCTCATTATTCCCACAAAAGTAAAAAATCCAACTGAGAAAATCCCAGTATCACTACTTAGTTCTCAAAAGGAGGTATTTATGGCTCTAGGAGAAATCAGGTGTGAGGACATTAGCAACTTTTGGTCTTACATTTATCTTGGAAGCTTTGGAGCCTCAAGAAAAAGAGAAGCTGGCACAAAATTAGGTTTTTCAACCAAGTCAACGTCATCTTTAGTGAGCGGTGGGAAGAGAGCATTTGGATGGTGCATGCACTCGTGTACGTATATGAAACCAGCAACAGAGTATAAAGCAAATTCTTACCCAAGGTCAGAATTTTTTATTAAGCGCATTTCCATTAGTTGGACAAACAACCTTATAAATCCTTATTTCAAACCATATAATGTGAAGAATCTCCATGGAGAGATTTTTTTTTTGCCCCTTAGAGTAATTTTTTCCCCCAAAAAAACTTCACATTAATTTTCCCTGTATAGTTGCATCACACCATCATTCTCCATATTCCCTAATATATACAGCATTCAGAATTTAAACTTTTGCCATGTTTACTCAAATATTTCAATTACTCATGTGTAAACTTCAAATTATTTCACCTTAATAAAGTTTATTAAAAATATATATATATATACTCTCCAATTCAGAATAATATGATAGAACCTCCCATAGTGTAACAAAATCTTTATATAAAATATTAATTCAGTCTCCTTTTAACAAGTCTAATGAATGGAAATATTTATTCTATATAAATTTTATATATTTTTCACTTTTTAATTTCACTTAAAAAAAAAAAAAGCTGTGCCCCCAAAACCAGAACATACCTGCAAGGGAAATGGCATGCATATCTAGTTTCAGCACAGACAGCATGAAAGAGTGCAGACTGGAAAATGTAATAACAAGATTCAGTTTCAGTACATCCGTAGCCAAAGGCCACTCTTCAATTTCCACAACAGTATCTATAATTGGGGATCCAACTCTTTAAACACTTCTGCACTGACCCCAGAAGGAATCAATGAAAAATGTCTACTTCCTTCATTGAAATATTAGATGATATATTTCATTATCACACCAAACTCTGTAGTTGAATGTGTATAAAGAGAGACTGATAAAACACTACATCATTTTTTACTTGATTCTTATCACCGATGCATACTGTAGCAGTATAAAACATATACTTTTCTGGAATGAGAAATATAGCAGGAATAGTCCTGCATAAACTGTAACTTTAACAGCATTTAAAAAAATAAAAATAAAGTTAAGTGCCTCTAAGGCCACTTCTTCCCAGTCACCAGTTTTCTTAACCCAGTACTGAAATATTGCCATACACAGCTGTGTGTTTAATGGATCACATTTAAATATTTAAAATATATCTACAGTATGTCTTCATTTTTTTAAATTCGAGATAATTTTTTGAATCTTGAATGTGAAAATGTAAAAATAGTCACAAATGTCTTTATCAGAAATAAAAACACACCTAGGGTAGCCAGTAAATTAAAAGCAAAGAAAATGTTTCATAGTCACACACTAATACTGAGGTCTGTAAAAAAGGCTGGATGAATAATAGATATACATAAAAGATATATTAGTTCCAATACTATCTATTACTGTTTCTATCACCAATACTTAAAAAAAAATTGTTATACAATCAAAATAGGCTGACATTGATAACTATTACGTGTAAAAATAGTGCACTATTTTTCTTCTGCAAAGCAAATTTGCATCCTAAGAGCTGGTAAACACTTGTTCTTTTTTTAAATACAGAAAAGGGTTGAGATTTTGGAAAAAAAATTAAATTAAGGCATTCAAAACGGGTAGAGTTGCCTACTATGAAGCATTAGGAAACTGATATAATTAACTTCAAACTTCTTGTTATAGTAATTGCTTAAATATGAACATGCAGCTTCCATCAGGTACACACAGATGAGTGATATAAACTCCAACATTATGGCTTTATACAAGTGCATAGTTGCAACTGCAGTAAGTAATGATATCTGATTAATGTTTATAAAAAAATAAAGTGGGAAGTTAAAAAAAAACCCTCTTGCAGTATTACAGTACTATACATATGTGTGCATGTGTGCATGTGTGTGAGGATATACATATCCACACACGCACGCACACACACACAGTATAATGGTCACTTCTTGAAGATGCAGTCTCTATCAGTGTAGTGGAATCCATTCCCAGATTCTTCTGGCAGGTTTGCTGGTGAAATCTCTCTGTTGAAGCTGCAAGGATGATTTCTTCAACTTTAACTCTTCTCAGTCCGTGTAGTGTGAGTGACTGCCAAGAGAGCTTCATGGAGCAAGTTGGGAAGAGTTGCACATGATATTCTTACTCTACTAACCAATCACTGTTGGTTCAACTTGCTGCTCCAAAGGAGCCCAACAAATCTATCCAAGATTTATAATTTATATTGCAGGAATACAGGGAATATATATATATATATATATATATATACACACACACACACACATATATATATATGTGTGTGTGTGTGTGTATCAGTCTCTCAGGAAAATATAGCTTTTTAATAACTTTGGGGCCATCATATTTCAGTCTTGTTTCAACTGGAAGAATATGATCACCTTGAATAATGACTGCATTCACAGAAGGCAGTTAGCTAGAAAGAAAAGGAAAATAAAGGTAGTTGATATAGTGAAATTATTTAAGAGATTGTTATCAGTTCTTTGAAAAGGCATTCCATTTACGTCATTAAACTATGTAGTCTTCCAACTACTATACTTTTAACACCTAAATCATGCATGAGATATATTACTGCATTACTTTTCTTAGTTTTAGGTACATGCAATTGCATTTTTGCTCATATTTTCTCATATTGGTCACAAACAGGACACACAAGTTTTATACAGTTAACTGGCTATTAGGGTTAGATAATATGTCACTGACTAACTCATGTGAATGTAAGTCTGACTTGGGCTTTAACTGCCAGTTACTCCATGCAGCTGAAAGAAGAGTGGACTTATGGGCTGGGTTCTACCTGACTGTCTGTCTGACACTATGCCACATTTTTTAAATATATGAAATGGGAACAAACACACTGTTGTAGTAAATATATGTAAATATTCTAAATCCTGGTTGTAAACAGATTCTATTATGACATGATTTAAGTATATATTTTGCAACGTGTTACTTAAGTTAAGATAGACATTACTTCTTTTAAATCCATTCCATGTAAAAGGTTTAACCCATGAGGTTCAATTTTCATTCAAATCTCCTTTAGCCACTATTAACCAAATTACATTTTCTAAAAGCACAAGAGCTTTCACAGCATACCGTTAGCATCCTCCAGCAAGAGTAACATTAAATTTTCAAAAAGTAAACATTCATTCACATCACAAAAAAAAGCCAAATCAGAAACAGCTATTTCACAGCACTTATTAGACTTACAAAGTTTTTATGGTTTCAATTATTACAAGTTAGAAAGAAGGAAAGAGGAGGGATGGAGGGAGAAAGGAACCCCATGCTATGTTCACAAACTAACACAGCTGTAGGAACTTGAAAACACTGTAAATTTTACTTCTCTGAATATGGCTTCTTTGGAATGAACAGAAAGTACCAGAATTAGCTCCTTTTGTTATTTTTATATGTTTCATTCCTAAGATAAAAAATTATAATCCCAACTGTATTGAAAATATATAGCCAATAAAGAATCTGAACATAGCATTTTACTTCTATACTTAACATGGAAATTTTAGTTAGAAACTTTTTTGAAAACCACTTTTCAAATATATACTCTCAAATACAACTTAATAAAATCTCAAACTGGTCAAAGGCATGAAAACCCAAAGTGCAAACCACATGCACTACTTGGAAATACTAAAACAACTCATTTTTCATTTTTTGATTTACCCCATTTACTTCTTCAGAAATCAAAAACATCGCCATCATCATCACCACCATCAATATCATCAAATGACCAATCCCAGTCTTTAAATGCCAAATCAAGCAATCTGAAATAGGAGGTTTGCAAATTTATACACTAATACCCTTGCAAAACAGCAGTTTAATATGCTATGATCTAGACATTACACTTCGAATGTGCTGTAAGTAAGCATTTTAACTTTCCCTTCATTGATAACAGCATAATTAAAATCAAGATGGATGCACACAGGGAAATCTTTCTCTTTATACACAAATACATATAATCATGTTGGCCACGTACACTTTCCAGAATACCAGAGAACAGAGGACAGAGATAATATTTAGGGATAAGACACAATCTTCTTCCCACTGGGTCCCAGTGAAGATGTAACCATCCTGATGCCCAGTTTGATTTAAGAACTATAAAAGTTCAACATTCCCTTCACAAAAGTGTCCATATTGTCAGCTCGTATCTTCCCAGAACATAACTATAAATCCCAGTCTGAAAGGAGAGTAATACTAAGAACATAGCTTTCTCAATTCCAGCAGGACTCTACCTGCTCAGTGGACCACCAAAAGTTATGCCTTCCATGAAAAGCCACAGACAAGGGAAAAGCCACAGGTAGATAAGCAGCATTAGCAACTTATCTTGACCAAATAAATTGGACTTAGAGTAGAGTATATATGGTCTTTCCTTTCGAATCCAATCCTCTAGTAATACAATCATTTTCATTTTAAAAAATAGGAGTAATTTTTTTATGTGTTGTGTGTTTTAGTTTTAATCATTGTTTTTAAACCATGGAATCAGAAGGTGAGATTTGGTCGGCAACTCAATGCCACTATCACTCCCAGTTACTGTGTAGATCATTAACCCTTATAATTCTACTTTCTCTCTCTTCCATTGTTGTGAGGAAATGACAAGACATCACAGATATGTCTCACTGCAAATTATTACATTTTGGTCTCAACTGGTGCCTTTGATACTGTTTGGAATTCTTTTATTTGTACCTTGGGGATCCCCGTCTAGTGGCTTCCAGATTTAGCTACTCATAGAGATCCCCGGGAATGCCTGTTAAAAATTGATCCTCCAGTTTCATTCTGGACTTACTGAATCAGCATTCCTGAGGATGGGGCGGGGGATCTTTCTGTCTGACCACCTCCCTGGGTGGTTCTTGGTGACACCAGCCTTTCCCTGGTCCAGGGAATTGTCTCTGCGGACTCCCGGTGGTCCACTTTAGAATGACTATTTTCAATTACTTCCACTCTTATAAGTTCCCATAAAAACAGGAGTAATTTTTAAAATTATTTATAACTGTGATGTTCATGAATACATTTGTGCCAAGGAACTTACCTGGTTCCCAAATCTCATCTGTGGTCACTGTGTCAGTGGTTCCTAAAATGTAGTGTATATGATTTATCCAATGCTATACATAACGCATACTCCCAGGCCTCACCCAAGAGAGTCTGATATACTTAAACGGGGGGCGGCAGGCAGGGAGGTATTTGTATTTTAAAATAAAAAACCTGAGATGAATTCTGATGTAGCTGCTTGACTTTGAGAATCACTGAAAGAATAGGTTGATGGATGATTACCTTAATTTAAAAGTAAAAGAAAAACAACTCAAATTACTCTATTTCAAACTGTGCTAAATACAGAGTATTTGACTAAACATACAAATTTAGATATAATTATTTATTCACTTAACACACATCAGCCTAGTACACACTTCCTTTCTTAGGCTTACATAGAAAGTACCTTTTAGCTATGGTGTCAACTCTACTACTTGGGAGACTGAGATCAGCAGGCCTTCCTGGGTGTCCAAGCCCCAGTATTAGCACACTTTATGAAAAATCTGCATATCCTTCCAAAACCTTCGAAGCATGTGTGTGTGCCCACATCACAATCTTCAAATTTTAAAAATCTTATCACTGGACTGTGAGTGTAATGCACGCCAGACTTCCCTAAAACCTCTCCCTCATCCCTTCCAGTCGTCTAATTCTTGTCATTTCAATTTGAGGAATCTTTCTTCAACTTGGTTCCTTCTGCCCATTTTCACTGTCAGTACTTTAGTTCAGGATCTCATTAAGTATAAATAAACCAATCTCTTGTTGAAAGACTTCTGTTAGAACAAAATCAAAACTCCTATAGCACAGTGAACATGCTTCTTTTCATTCTGGCTCAGAGCTTTCTCTCCAGTGTCACCTTCTACCACTTCATGTCAATACCCTCTCCCCACCCTAACCCAATACAACATTACAAACACATAAGTAATTCTGACAACCAGGGCCTTGGTACATCAACATCTTGCCTAAAATTGTCTTTTCCCTTATTTCTTTGCCTAGGAAATTACTGATCCTCCATTTTTTGGAGAACTTTCTTGATGCTTTAATGGCAGAATTCTCCATGCTTTCCTTTGTTCCCCCATAACATTTGTTCATGCCTCCATAATAAACAACATATTAAACAGTACTGTAATTATCTGCTTGATTGTCTATCTCCTTCATTAATTGATCAATGGGTATACCCTTCAGGCTGCTCAAACTTATTGCCAAAGACTGCATCAGAAGGGAGCATTTAACTTTTGAGTTACCAGCAGCACATGAGCACACCCATTTCTTTACATCTCACCAACACTAAGTTTCTTAATCCTTACCAGTTTGGCAGATAAAAATGGTTTTACAATATAGTTTTAATTTAATTTTAATTTCTTTGCTTCATAATCAGGTTGATCATTTTTTCATATTTATGGTAATGCCTGCACGTTCCACACTAATTTTTATGCTGGGAAGAGTCAATCTTTTTATTAATGATTTATGTAAGAACTATATGCACAAAGATACTAACCCATCTTCCTCATATATATGGTAAAATATGTGCTGTTTTTAAAATTTACAAGGCTTTAATTTTTGGTTAGTTAATCTTTGACTTTATTTTCTTTCTTTGCTTTTATTCTTAGGAAATTCTTCTCCAATCCAAGGTCAGATACATATTCACCTATTCTACTTCATTTATGGATTTATTTTTGACACTTTAACTTGTATATAACATTATTATTTACTTTCTAATATTTAGAACTGGAAAAGAATAAAGATGAGATAATGATAAAACAATAGCTTCCCCTATCCTTAAGTTAACTGTGTTGACAACGCTTTGTTTTTTAAAACTGGATAAATGAGTATTTGTTGCATTTCTGCTTTATATTTTTCTACATGGCTTAAATATTACGTTAAAAAAAAAAGATCTTTTAAAGGAGAATAATTAAAAAGAAATGCCCTCAGCAGGGACCAGTATTTTGGGTCTTTAATTGGAACAAATTAGGATCTCTCCAAACTGTCATCAAAAGCCAACATTTTACTCACAAATTTCTTACTTTTCTAGCAGAGTATTTTATTCAAAATTACCAAGAAAACATTCCTCTGGAATACCATTTCTACATATTACATTTTATAGACTGTCAATTCATTAACATCTACTTGAATCACTGTGAGGCAGGGGAGTATTACAGCTGAGAATGCAGGACCTGGATTATGCTACCTGGGTCTGAACTCACAGCTCTGCTTCTTACTAGCTATGTGACCTTGGCACACAATGTTCCTGTGCCTTAATTTCCTCATCTGCTAAATAGAGACATGAATAGCTAAACCACTGGGTGGTTATGAGGATAAATAAGTTAGTACAGTTAAAGCGCTCAGAGGAGTGCCTGGCATTTTATAATATGCCCTCAAAAATGCTTTTATATAATAATAGCTAACGCTTACTTAATTATTCCTTTAAAACACTTCATTACAGAAAAAGGGAAGCAGAGTTAAGAGGAGAATCAAAACCAAGAATGTCACAGAAGCTAAAGGAAAAAATGTAATGATGCAGTTGTTAACAAAGAAAGACACTAAGGCAAAATTAAAAAATAAAAAAAAGAAAGATTAGGTGACTATTTATGGGTACTATGTTTTAGTGTGTATAGAAATACATACATTTGATGATGCCTAATAAACCCAAGCATTTGTTCTAAGAAAGACACTATGTGAACTAATTCAACTAAAGCTAGATAAACTAGTGCTAAGACTAAAACTAAATAAACACAAATGAAGAGCTAGATATTAAATTACTGGTGATACACACCAGAAATTCTGTTTCTAGGTTTTCTTGGACAATTCTTTAAAGCTCTACCCATTTGTCTACAGAAGTATGTTATAAATGAGTAGGATAATAAAGGTCACCCACAGTCCAATGCTCGAGCCTCCTCTAGAACCAAGCTCCTCCACGTCAGATTGCACACACACTGACACACTGAGGAGCACTGCCCCTCAACCACTCTGCCAAGCAGTCACCTGAGTCAGGTGTAAACCTGTGGACACAGGGTAATCACTGTTCCAGAGCAAGCCAATTCTTCCAGTTTTGTAAATCTGATTGCTTGATAATTTTTTCCTGCTGAGTTTAAAATGTGCCTCTCTGCTTAGTTCTTCCGAGGAAAAATCCTTTAAATCTTCATTGTTACTTATGATCGCCTGTCCTTTCAAATCATTTCCTCAGAAGACCAAAATATCTAGTTCCTTCACTTGCTACATGTGTAAACATCTTCAAATGTCCAAATGACCCACTACTTCCTCCATAATTCTCTTCTAAATAACCTCTAATTTGTGTATGCTACTCTTAAAATGTGACAACCAAAACAGAATGCAAACTGTAGGGTTATTCATATGAGGACAGACACAGATACAATTTTATGAGTTAATGAAGCAATGGAGGCACAGATGTTAAAAGCCATGGAAGTAATGTTACAGAGGCATAATAAAATACCAAATCATATTTCAAATGTGCCTATCTTTACATTTAAAACTTCAAAAAGCATATTAGGTTAAAAAATTTCAAACCAATTCCCTATACATTTTACAGTCAGTTTTGATATTAGTTTTATCTTCATGCATAGTTGTGGAAAAAAATCCCTATTACTTACTGTTGCTATGCAAAATGTATTAAAAAAATCAATGAAGAATGATTCGAAGGGCAGGCCCAGAACTAAAAAAAAAAAAAAGTAACAAAAATCAAAAGTAAATGTGCTTTCAAATAGACCATAATGCTGAATTGGGGGGGCAAGAAAATTATCTATAGGTGAGCTTGGCAGTTATGCATTAATTGTTCTACAATATTAACAATAGAAATTTAACTTTTAGATGTTTTGCATAAGGTACATGGAAGGACCTTTGGCGTCTCTGAATTCTTTGAGTTTCTTCAGTTGAATTACTCTCATATAATCGCTAATTCTATAGTATTTAATTTTATCATACCACACACAAAAACTCAAAACATTTTCACTGTTGAAACACTAATTCTACCTTTGTCATTTTAGATTATTTCCTTGAGATATTAGTTTCAAGAAAAGTTTCATATAAGATGTGGTTAGAATGCAAAGATTTCTGGTAATGCAGCCAATGCACATTGTTACTCATATACTGAACATCCTGTGTTAGGGAACAAAAAGGACACCTGAAATTAGATCCTGGATCTAAGTGTACACTTTACTCTTTAGCTAACCAAATCTTCATGCTCATTTCAATGAATACCAATATGTATTTATAAATACTGCATTAGCTAGTAAGCCATGAAATGGTTATTCTGAATAAAATATTATTATAATGTAGTTATTTGAAAATGGCTCCACCAAAATGTTTTTGTGCAATAATAATCACCTCTAAACTTACTCCATATTTCCAACGCCACTTCAATTACAAGAAATGCCCATGATACCCATTAATTAACATTTGAATTTTTAAAGCTTATCTACATTGCTCTTTAAATCCTAGACAAGGTATTATTTTAAACTTACAGATTTGAATTAAGACTTAAGATTTCAGTCCTGACCTCAAGTCATCTAACATAAAAGAGGTTTAAGAGGCTTGCAATATTGGAAAACAACGCGTGTACCTGACACGGAAAGGACTGTGTGTGCATCCTATCTACTATAATCAATTAAGTCAATGTGCTTATAAAATCCTAAAATATTGTAATTATATATATATAAACACGACAAAATGAGCCCTTTATACATTTTTGGTTGATTTTTATATATGTGTGTGATTGAGTAAGTAAATTTCTATTACATACATCTGAATCAATGAACGAGACATGAACACTGAAATCGTTTCAAATGTCTGGTATTCCACAGATCATGAAAATACCAAGCAAAGGACAACTGTAACTAGGAAAGTTTGTAATTTGAGCATAAGTAGCAAAATATTTTTAAAAACACTTTAATTTTTAACATGTTTGTATTTATTACCTTGGTTTGTTCGGGGCAAGCTGTCGACTTGGCCGTCTAATAGACTGGTTTTGTTGTATCTTCATTGAAGTTCTAGGAGAGGACCGTGCAAAAGGGTCTGGAGCTGGAGGCTTCTTAGGTATTTTTTTCACTAGCCGACTAACCCACTTTTGCTGCTCTTCTGTAGAATTTGCTAATAACAATAGGTTCTTTGCCGATGAAATATCGTAATACACTATAAAGAAATATTTGAAAAAAATTAGTATGTTTAAAATGATCTGAACATAAATCATATTGATGGAGCAGGTAATTTACTATTTACCTTTGCAAGGTGCTATAATTTCCTCCTTTTTATCCATGTGATCTTTATGACATTTAATATGGCAGCGACGGCACTCTAAAGCAGGAGGAGGTTTAAACATATGCCATAATGGCTTCATACATGCCTCACAGTTGGTTGGGAAATGATAGAGAGTGGGAATAAATTCATGTCCTTTGTGGCAAATGTAATTTGACTTTTCTCCCACTGGCTCCACTGGAAATTCTTGTTCCTTCTTACTTTCTCCTTCATTGGCATACAAAATCTAGAAACACCAAAAAGAACAATCAACGATTTTCAAACATAAGTTATTTTGTATGTAATAATTCTTATAGTGTAAGTGAAATTAGCCTAGTGGTGGGGGGGCGCAGGTAAGGACAGACTGGGAGTTCCAGATTTATAGATACTGACAGGTATATATAAAGAATAGATGAACAAGTTTATACTGTATAGCACATGGAAATATAGTCAAGATCTTGCAGTAGCTCATGGTGAAAAAGAATATGAAAACGAATATATGTATATTCATGTATGACCGAAAAACTATGCTGTACACCAAAAACTGGCACAACATTGTAAACTGACTATAACTCAATTTAAAAAAAAAATGAACTAAACCAAAATTAATCACACAGTGCCTAACATTTTAACACAGAAGTAAATAATAGATACGGGGAGATTCTGGCAAATAATTAAACCAATAATGTACCTAAAAAAAAAAAAAGGAACTAGCCTAAGCTATTCAATGAGAAGAAAATGCATCTGGCATTCAAAATGTTAGTAGGTCCTAATCAAGAGCACATATGAGAAAAGTCATTAGTCACTTTGGTTCACATTTCAAAAGAACTGATCCTGTTCAAACAGAGCTTCCTTATTTTTCTCCATGCTATCTTCCTCTGTTTTAGCAATTTTATCACAATAGGCCAGCATAAGGTAAATCTGTACTTGATGAGGGTCAAAACATTTTTCTGGGCAGGAGTGTTCAAAATAACCACCTGAAGAGATATGGCAATTTTATGAATGGGTATTTTATGATTCTCAAAACAGAACTGGGAGATAACTGCAAATACAGCTTTAATTGAAAAGATTTGTATTTGGAGAATTGAGGAAGAAAGAAAAGAGGAAAGGATGTTTAATTCACTCCAAATAAACAGTATAAGCATCCAGAAAATAAGCAGCCAACTTCCCCACAGTACACCAAACACAATGGCTTTTATGCAGAAGGAATCCAATAACTAATTGTTGGTTTGACTGATTTTAAAATGGAAGTAATAATGGGAAGAATTTGGCTTCATTTTAAAATTGGAAGTAAAAGGGATACTGGGTGCAATATTTAACTTTACAAAGCAACTTTTTTAACTTTCTAGAGAGTTAAGCATAAAACCAAAGTTCATGCTTAAAAAATGTTATAACCAATCTTGAGCAAAAGAATAGCAAAGGTTAGAAATATGATATAAACACACTACAGACTTTAATTTAACAAGTAAAATGTGGAGAAGAATTAAGATGCATTCAAACAGGAAAGTCACAAAAGAACGAACCATTGTACATGGGACTAAAACTGAAAGATAATCTTAAAAAGGCCCAAGAATAAAGAAATTTGTTATGTCATGTCATGCTGAGAATATATAGAAGTGAAAAAAACAACAAAGCAAACCAATTGCAAGACAAACTGTGTTTACCTGGAATATCCTTGGGATTTCTTTAGCATCTGCTCTATATACATCTGTCTGTGTAACTGGTCGTACATGAAATAATTTGCTATAAAAGATTTTTAAGAAAGGAATAAAATATTACAAAGGATCAAATTATATTAGTTACCCTATACTTACATCAGAAATTAAAATTGACTACTTTGGCCCTTGTTAGAAAGTCAGAGAATATCTTGCTCTATAAATTTAATCACTTCTTGAGATTTTGAGGAATTTCCAGTAAGTCAGAAATTTTCTAATTAGTTTCAGAAACCAACACAGTGAAGACCCATGAAATAAAAATGTTTTAGCTAACTCTATATCCCAGACTTTCATCTGTATTAAGCAAATGTAAGAAAATGTAATGATCGTATAGGAGATACTGTATGTACAGTATGGGAGCATACTACGTGAGTATATCCATATACCATATGACTAATAAATTACACTAATTTGACAAAAAGGTCACAGTGCTACCTTACACTTTAAAAGATGAAGTTCCTAAATATTCTAATAAAAATACTTACTCTATATCTAAAACCATGTAAGGATTAGATTGTTCTTTATCTTGTTCACTGTCATAGAAAAGGATCTTCTTACTACTCACAATCACATACTGTTAAAAAGAGGGAGGAAAAGAATTAAGCAATGATTAAAGTTAATATATATCTTATTTCCTTTGAAAATAAAGTCTATATTAGCAATAAAAATCATTTAAAATACTTAAATACCTAAAAAGTTATCTTAATGTATTTGTGAAAAACTCTTCCTCAAAATAACAGTAAATTTTGTTTGTACGTATTTTACTTTTTTTGGAGGTGCTGGGGATTGAACCAGGACCTTGTGTATGCTAAGCATGCATTCTACCACTGAGCTATACTCTCCACTCCCATATATATTTTAAATAAGCAAACTGGGGAAGAAATAAAATTCAAGCATTTTTTGGACTGATTTAGCTTCAGGATCCAATGGCATAGAGCCTTATTGCTATAGCTTGAATAAGAGGTTCCAGAGAAATCCCCACTCTTTCCACCATGAGGACAGAGCAAGAAGTCTGCAACCTGGAAGGCCTTCACCGGAACCCCACCAAGCTGGCACCCTGATCTTGGACTTCCAGCCTCCAGAACTGTGAGAAATAAATTTCTGTTGTTCATAAGTTACTCAGTCTGTGGCATTTTGTTATGGCAACCTAAAGACCCTTATTCAAAAAGTAAACATCATAATACCACTAATCATAGTAACAGGAAAAGAAGTAAGTGGGTCTTTCCATTAGAGCCAAAGCTGTTTTCCCACTGAAACAGCAAAGGCACCAAGATCAACAGGCTTCTATTTTCCTAACAACAAAACCTGCTTTATTATTAATAACATGTTAATGATAAAAGTTTGTTTTTTTTTACAAAGATACATAAAATTATGTCATGCCAAATTAGAAAGTACAAACAAGTTTTATGTGCTTAAAAGTTCTAGTTTTATATATATATATATCTTATAATTACAAAAGTGATATGGCTGTAGTTAAGCCAAAAGCAAAACCATCTTCAGAAGTACCAATTACCTTTTTAACCCATCCGAATTTCTTAGTGTTGTTTCGCACAGGCAATGAAAGCCATCCTTCTAGTCTTGATTCTGTGAATAAGCACAAGATATGAGGATAAATATAGTAAGGTTCCTTAAAAAAGAGGAATTTAATAAAAATTTAATATTAAAGTCACAAAACAAATACGCCCTTCAGAATTTATCATTGTACACATTATCTAAAATATAGTAATAATGCAGAATCAAGCAAGTTATGCAATGCAAACAAAATCCAAGTTATATCACATTGGAAATACATATTCTGTAGTTTACAAAGTCAAATGCCCCATTGATTAAATTCATGCATTTGCAAAATTCCGCAGAAAAGTTGCAAAGAAGAGAAGCAGCTCTCTATTCTCATTTGCACACCTGTGTTAGAATCCTTTATTTTTCCCTTTGGAAGAAGGTCTAACTACAGATACAGTGCACATCTTCTTTGAAGAGGAAACATTGTAAGTGAATACTTATGTGTTCAGAGAAAATATACTTTTAGAATGGCTATAATAAAACAAAATAAAATTGTATAAATTGCAGATCAAATCTGGCTAATAGGCAGCAATATAACCAAAAGATTCCTAAATTCCAAAATATTAGAAGCCATAAAATTCTAGTTCAACAGAGGAAACTCAATCCTTAGAATTTGTTCTAATGGTATTTGATCAGTATATTTTTATGAAATAATTAAGTGAAATAGCATTTTAGAAGTTATTCTAATAATAAAAGTAGTTATCACTTATTTAACATACGCTATGTGTCTGAACAGAGCTAGATGCTTTACATGAGCTTTCTTTAATCTTCACAACAACCCCACAGAAAGCTCACACAGGGACAGGTCTCTGACTCCAGGGCCTATACTCTCACATCAGTAACCTTTCAGACTCTATGAACAGAAATGCTGTCATTAAAAACAGACTCATACTCAAACTGTCTGGACATGGTCCTACACCAGTTTAAGGGACTAATCAGATGACCTCTAACAATATGGGTACGAGTGAAGTAATTTTATTGCTAAGCTCTAAAACAACTTAAATACAATCACTTATGATTTATACCTGGGATTTATACTGATCTATAACAGGGAAATGTGACAACAATGTAAATAAATAGTTACTTTGAATTCAACCAATAGACTAAATTTTACTTTACATTCAACTGCTTATACACCAATTTCCTGTAGCATATACCTTAAACTTTTTTTGTACTCATAGTAACTTTGTGTTAAACCTAATAATTTTATAGGTCTTCCATCTGGTTTTTTTCGTTTAAACTATAAGTCCTTTCAGGACAAGGATCAAGTACTTTTTTTTTAAGCTTAGCACAATGTTGACTAGGTAAGCACTCAGTGAGAACCTAAACACATCCTCTAAAACAGTCTACGTGCTTTTTCTGTCACTCTTTACATGAAACTTTAGAAAGAATTTCTTCTTGGTTAAAAATGGGCGAGACAAGCAGTGAAATCATACATTCTTAAATGATATAAAGTACTGTTCCATTTTTCTTGTAAGTTGACAAAATAAATCAATTGCAATAGCAGTGCCATGTGAAACAAAATACCTTAAAAATCAAATTCTTTGTTCATGCAGCAGTTTCTTTTTAACTGGGACTTGTTATCTGAGCAACTTGTTAGAGTTAGTGAATATTAGTTAATATTACAAAAATTTTTCCAAAGGACTGAAATTAAGGGTAGTGGGAAAAAACCCCAGAGGTGGAAATATTTTCAGACTATCACCTGTACCATTAGATTCCGATGAAATAGGTAAATAATGCACAGATTCTTCTTCTGAGTCAGAATCAGAGTCAAGAAGCATATGAGAACTGGAAGGCTTAGTGGCAATATTGAGAGAAGTAGAGGAACGTTGGTAGGTGAATGACATGGATTCCATAGTGTGTGACTGAGTGATATGAACTGAACACCCAACATAAAAGGAAGTAAGAATGCAGAAAGAAGTTAAGAAAAAAAAAATGAAAGCTTAAAAAGAGAGATGCCTATAATATACAGAGCTAATTTAAATAACTAAGTATGTAGAAGTTATTTTTGCATTTTTATCAAAACTTTCGTGAAAAATCAATAAATAAAGTAAGTTTAAACTTGTCATTTGAATCTCTACTCTAAGGAGTAGGTTTCTCTGAAAGAAATGACAAACATTTTTCCTCAAGAGCAAAGTCAGTCACAGGGCTTAAAACAATCAACTGATTTATATTTTAGACAAAAGACCTTTAATAAACGTCAACATAAGGGCTGAAAATAAATCTGTACCTGGGAACCCATCATCTGCTTCAGCATCCCCTGGTCCACTGCCTATACTGGAACTATCCAGACCAATATGCAAGGCTTGGAGCTGGGACCGCAGCTGCTCAATGTCACTGTCTTTACTGTCCAGTGTCATCTGCAGTTCAATTCGAATCTGGCTCTCTTCAGCTATTTGCTACAAGAAATTGAATTATGTTAAATTAACTGGATGCCATACATCTCAATTTTCTTAGTTCAGTAATACGGTAGTCCCTCCCTTATCCAAGATTTCACTTTCCACGGTTTCAGTTATCCGAGGTCAACCGTAGTCTGAAAATATTAAATGGGAAATTCTAGAAATAAATAATTCATAACTTTTAAATTGCACGTCATTCTGAGTAGTGTGATGAAAGCTCACATTGCCCAGCTCTGACCCGTCTAGGATGTTAATCATCCCTTTGTCCAGCTTTTCCACACTGTATATGCTACCCACCCCTCGGCACAGGAAAAACAGTAAGTATAGGGTTCAGTACTATCCGTGGTTTCAGGCATCCACTCGGGGTTCTGGAACATATCTCCCTTGGATAAGGAAAGGTTACTATAATTGTTAATAGAAACGTTCATAATCAATAAAATACATAGAGACATGAAAATGATTCTACTTCTTTAAAAAGAAGTCTTTAACCTAGAGTCCAAAAAGTATTCTTACAGCCTGCATTTCATTCAGTTCTTTCTGATACTTGATCATCTGCTGCGTCAGTTTCTCACGTTCAGATTTAAGCTCCATATGTAGCTTTCTATTCTCCTTCTCTTTTCTCCGCACATCTGTGTCACTACCACGTTTGACAGGTTCTTTCCGATTCATGATCTCGGCCAACTTATTCACAGCCTTAAAGACATAAAAATAAGTACGTAAATAAATAAAATTAATAAAAATAATAATTAATGGTTTCTTGATAACTCACCAACAGCAAGTTATAAAACCTCCTTCCCTACGCACAGGGCCACAAAGAAACATTTTCTATGTTAAAAAATACACCTTCTTCACTACTCATTATTCTTTTCCAACCAACACTCTTAGCTTTTTGTTCTCAGTTTTTCTGAGAACTGTAATTTAAAACATTTACAGGTTCACTCTAATGTCACTTGCTACCACTATGCATGTGTAGTTACAAGAGACTTTTACTAGGTAGATCTTTTATCCTAGAAGAAGAGAGCTTTACACTGGCATCACCTTAATAAAATGCAACATGTCCAACCACAAAGCAGAGCATCTTGGACCCACAAGTATTCACTCTGTGTATAAAGTCATGAGGGCTGAAAGAGAGATGGTCAGTAATCACAGGTGCCTTTTCAGAGTGATCCTTTTTCAGGCCCTCAGCAAATGGTCATTCTCTAGTCTCTTAAAAGCAGAAAAACTTACCACATTATAATAAAAAATGAGGAAAGAATGTGATTCCATATGGAAAAATTAACAACTTCAATAAACACTGAACTCAACAGTGTTAATCAAATTTAGCTTCTCCCCACCCAGTAAAGCTCAGATAATTCTATCTGATTAATACTGACAAATACTGATGCAATCCGTGACTGCTACAGCCAACCTGTAACACTACAAATGTAAAAGAGGTAAACTGAAAAAAAGTACAAAATCATATTCAGAGCTTATAATATACACACTTGAGTTTTGAGTGTTCTCTCTGTTAATAGCTGCTTCTCAAATTGTGCTTTAATAGCTGCTGCACTTATTTCTTCATCCTTCAACCTTGACAGTTCTGAAACACAGAAAAATATAAAAATTATACTGACAGTTCAGCAACTGACAAGCACTAGTACATTGAAAATAAACTTCATTCTTTGTTAATACATACGCTCTTGGGCATCTTTCAATTTGTTATTTAACTCTTCTTTCTCATTTGCAAGATTGGCAACATCACTAGTTAGTGTCCTATTAGTTTCTTCAAGCTAGGAAATGAAAGTGGAAAAATAATCATATCCTAATTTACAGATTTTTAGGTTATAAAGCAATTATTCAAAATGTAAATATCCTAGAACGTTAAGAATCCTGTTTTCCTAACTACATCTACCTTTATACTTCTCGCCTTTGTGCTACCTTCCCAAACTTCACTCTTGATGAAAATTTTGCTAACCTAACAGGCTTACTTCGTATGCACCCCAGAAAGCCAAAAACACTGCCCTTCTCTCACAAATCCTTAGCAGTATTTTAAATGAGAACAACATTTAATAAACTAAGAAAGGCAAATACTATAACAAAGCTCTGCATTCCATCATGCAGAATAAACAAATTTTAAAACTGTAATTTTCTTTCAGAACATTTCACACAGAAAATAAAGTTTTACTAAGAAAGTTGACATTCCCTGGTATTCTCTCCAAATTCTATTCCTCTTCGTCCTTTCTGAAGGAAATTTTATTGTGAATTATGTGTTCATCCTTCCCATCCATGACGGTGTACTTTTATTACACACACATGAAACAATACAATGCAGTTTTATGTGATTTTAAACTTCTCATAAACAGCATCATATTGTATTCATCTTTCTGTAATTGCTTTCACTCAACATTATATTAAGAAGTAAACTGCTGATATATATAAAGACCCAACTGATTCATTTTAACTGACTGTTTTATTTTCTATTACATTTCATTTATCCATTCATTCATCTATTAATATAACATTTGAATTTTTGCTATTACAAACGTTTATGCTGCTAGGAATACTGTGCCTGAATTTCTCTAGCACATTTATCTTAATGTGGACTTTCTTTGGATTATATGAATATTTAAAATTTACTGAAAATTGCCATACTATTACTATACTATGCCATACTATATTTACACTTCTGACAGTAGAAAATGTCATTTTCTAGACATCCTTCAAACATTTGAAAGTGGTCAGATACTGAATTTTTGCCAATGTGATGGATCTGAAATAATATTTCAAAGTTATTTTATCCAGCCTTTTCTTAAGAGCAGTGTAGTTAAGCATCTGCTCATATTTTCAAGTTTTCTCTTTTGGCCAATTTTCTTTTGGATTGTTTAACTTTTTTTCTTGTTGAATTGCAGGATTCCACATACATTCTGGGTACTAATCCCTTGTTTAATAAGTATATTACAAATACCATACCTTGCCCTGTAATTTACTTGTTATCATCTGTTATGAGTATATTTTGGATTCCATTCTAATAAAGTTTTCATTTTTCATATTAGGTTCTTAAGATAGCTAGAATTCACTTTTGTATGTGGTAAAAGATACTGAGAATCTAATTTCATTCCTTACCTCATAAAGATACAATTATTCCAAAATCTGTATCCTTTCCCACTGATTTGTATATTGCCGCTTCCATCATACACCAGGTTCCTGTATGTGCACAAATCTACTTCTGGACTCCCTACTCACTTCCACTGAACAGGACTAAATATCCCTGTTCTAATACCAAACTTTTTAATTACTGTAGCATTTCAATCGATCTGGATTAACTGACAAGGCAAACTCAACTACGTGATATTTTACTTCTCTTTGAAATTTTTGTTGCAGTTTTTTTTCAACCTACATATGACTATCTTCATGTAGTTTCAAGATTCTTTCAAACTAAGGCTGATTTAACAAGAAAAAAATGACTGAAATTGTTTTCTACTTTTGATATTTTCCTCTCACTATAGTCCTTTAACTATGAATTTACCAACAGATGAAGCCATTATAAGTTCTTTTCTGAGCCTCTCGCTGCCAAACAGCACTGAGGTTATTAACTCGGTCAAACACCTGGTACCCTGCACAGACAAGCTTTTCACTTAGATCCGTGTTACTTTCCTGCTACTTCTAAGGAAGATTTATGATATAGTAATTTAATTACAACAAAAAAGAACCAAGAATTGCACTTACAGATGCAATTGTAGCATCTTTTTCAGTGAGCTCCTGTTTGTGTCTAGCCATCATCTCCTTGATCTCCAGCTCTTTCATGATTTTCTCTTTTTCCAAATCAGAATACTGCTCTTCAGCAATTGAGCGAGCCAGCTGTTCAGAATCTGCTTTGGTCAAGGTGATCTCCAGCTGAGCAGCCAAGGAATCCCTATATTTTAGAGTTAATATAAAATTTAAATGTTCAATTTTCATTACAGAGTCAATGTTTTTCCTAGTTTACTTCATCAACAAATTTTTATTTGCAGTACAGCAGGCACTGTTTGAGGAGTAGGGAACATGGCTATGAACAAAAGAGACAAGGGTTTTGTTCTTACCTTTCATCCTGTAATTCCTGTTTCTTCTGCTGTAATTCTTTACAAAGTTTGGTCTTTTCTTCACATTCTTCTTTAAGTTCCCTAACCTGTGTTTTATAGAGGGTCTACAGAGCAAAATATAATAGAAACAAGTATCATCATAACTATCATCATCATCATCAAGACTATTACTTCTGTTTTCAAAACCTATCCAGACAAAAAGCCCAACTGAGCACATACAAATATGTTTATAATATTAAGTAATGTTGAGCCCATGAACAAATTAATAGTTTAATGAGCTTTTCTATTTTTGATAATCAATCAATTAACTAATAGAAGTTCAGCTAACAAGTTAGGGCCATGATTTTCAATAGGATATCACAGTGAGATTTCTCATTAAATGACAGGCTGGTAGGACGAATGAAGAGGCACAGAAAAATATAACTAATTTAGACAAGAAAATTTTGTTGGCTTAAAATCAGTAAAACAGAAGTGGCAGTTACAACTTTGTATTTTAAAACTCAAAAAGTACAAGTATTAAAATGACAATTTTATTTCTTTCATTATGAAAATATATTCTCCCTTCAAAAATCAATTAGATTTTGAACTAATTGATTAGAACTATTTTTCTAGCAATGATAATGGATTTCTATTAAACTATCCACGGTCTTTTGTCCAGATGTTCTTTTTATGTGTGTTTTACAAAACATTCCATCCAAAATTCTGTATGGGGTTTGCTATAAGAATATATTCTAAAGACAAGAATCAGCCTCCTCTTTCTGAAGCAAAAAAATTTTTTAAATTCTACAAATAAAACAATTTTCAAAGTGATGTGTCTGGAACTTACTGAGAAATACTGCTCTGCTTCAAGCTGGTCTTGGAGCTCTTTCATTTGCCCATCTGCATCTTGGCGTTCTCTGTAGGGAGGACATAGAATCAAAGGGCTTTAAATAAGTTATACACCTATTAAGCCAGTAACTCTCGAAATGGGGTCTAGGAAACCCCTGAAAGTGCCTGAGACCCTTTTTCAGAATCCATGAGGTCAAATTATCTTTATAATACTAAGAATCATTGCTTTTTGAAAAAACTTTAGTTCTCTCAGTGTATATGGATGTCTCATGGGGCTGCATGACATATGATGCTGTCATCACTCCAACAGCTAATGAAATGTGTGCTCATATGAGCTTGTGTTTCAAAATTTTCTCAGTTTTAATTTCTCACACAAAAAATATCATTAGATATAACTCACATACACAAAAATTCTTTGGAGCCCTTGATAATTTTTAAGAGTATAAAGATGTTCTAAGATCAAATAGTGCTATATTAAACCAGTAACACTAAATTATGTATTCTCAGACATTCATTGTGATCAGCCATTTATGCCAACCGAGTAAGAGAATTAAAAGAGCACCTGAAAATGGGTTACCTTAGAATGAGAGAGGAAATGACCAGGAGGGAGCCTGTGGGGAGGTAAGGAGTGCAGGTTTTTATACATAAATATGAATAGTAACTGCTCAGAATTGAATACTTTGTAAAACTTCACTGAGCTCTACACTCATCATTTGTATGCTTTTTAAACATATTTTCATCTTTAATAAAGAAAAAAGAAAAAAGAAAACAAAAAATGAGCCTAACAACTCATTTAAGAGGTTGGGCTGAAATAAAGTCTAGGCTTATTTAAAAAAATATTATAGTTATTCCAAGTCAAAGCTAAGGGAGAAAAAAGCAAGTTGGAGAACAATATAACATACAAAATACAACTAACAACCAAAATAAAATCTATTAAAAACTCAACCCTATATATGTCATATAGATGTATGATAGGCACAGAAGAAGGTGTGGGAGGATAAATAAATTGTTAAGATATGGTACCTTTGGAGGGACTAAATATATCTGCATTCATAAAGGAAAGTTCATAGTCTTTTCTCTTTATTTTTGCAGTGAGAGTATTTCACAGTGAGAAAATATTTTACCTCTATTTGGATATTCAAAAAATGTATACAGCAAGAAAGACTCAGAGATTAAATGATTTAATCACATCATCTTCAGTTTCTATATTACTTAGGACTTTTAACCTTATTTTCATTTAATATAATTTGATTGTTTTGTTTACTCATTGGCCCTTCAACTTCTGGATAAAAAGGAAATTATCACTCAATGTCACTTATCTGTGTTAATTCTGTATTTTATTATTGATGAGTATACTATTAAGGAATGATAATTCTTATTTCTCAGAGCCAAAAATGTGAAAGAAAGGTGATAATGACACATGAAAGATAAGTTTTAAAATTGTCTCATCATCACCAGCTAAGTACACTTGCAGCAAACCCCAGTGTAATTTTAATATCATGATCTTCTTGAAGAGCTATCATTCATTATATGAAACTTGAAAAACTTAATATTTTTTAGGTATTTAAGAAAACTATTTTTCAGAAAGTAACCATGTAATGTGCACATGGTTACAATGAAATAATACAGACACAGAAGAAACTGCAAGGAAAGGTGGTAGGGTTTTCTACATTCTAAGTCAGTTAAATGGAGCACTAGAGCATATCCTGAAAAAATAGTTTAACAATTTATATGGTGTTTGCTTAATAGTCAAACATTTCCAAGTATCAGAAATTAAAGAACAAACAAAAAGCACATATGCTTGAAGGACAGTCCTGAGGAGGAATCTTAAGAACACAGAGTGCAAATCCGGGACATTTTCTTCTGCTCTAACATCAACACTCTATCGCTTAAATCGTTAATAGGTGGCAATAGGAAAAAAATTGTTGGGGAAGCAAATAAAATCTTTTTGAAGGACAACAGGGCCACTCAACACATTACTTGTACAGAAAGAAAGAGAAAACATGGTCAAGAAAATAAAATGATAAGAAGAAAATCCCCAGATAAACTAAAGTTAACATAATTTACATGTGGATAGTTATGCACATTAGATTTCTTTGTCTGAAGCAATTAACTTACTTTCGAAGTTCAGCATTCTGTTTTTCCAAACTCATTTTCATTTCCATGAGATGATTATTTTCTTGTTTTAACTGCTTTTCTGACATTTTTAGTGTGTTAACTTGCTGTGTTTGCATCTTCAAGTCATTTTGTGTAAGGCAGCGCTTCTGAGTTTCCTGCTCTATTTTTAATGTCAAGTTTCTAACCTAAAAAATAAAGTTTGTACTTGGTACGTAAGTAAATTTTTTTTATTCTTCTTATCATGAAGCTGGCAGTAAATGTGATAATATAAAACAGATTTTTGCCCTTATGCAGTTAATTCTTTTCACAGTAAAATATTTTTGGGATTTTCCATGATATATTTTTAAAATAAAATATGGTATTTAAAAATTTTTAATTATGATTAATTTAGTATATAATCCTGATTCAGTAAAATTAAAACATTATAAAATATTACTATACAAGAAAACTTTTTAATTATAAAACCATCATTGAGCCTTTATAAATAAACCTAGTTTACTATAATTCATTAAATAGTTCATTATTATTTATTAGTAAACTTCACACTTACATCCTCATTTAGCACATCTTTTTGTTTGAGGAGTTCATTTATTTTCTGCTGTGACTGTTTGAGGTCACAGTCTAATATAGAACATCTTTTCTCAGCCTCCAGCAACAAGTTCTCCACTTTCTGTTTTAAAGTTCTTTCCTCCAAGAGCTTTTTCTCCATTTCTATTGCCAGAAAAATGGACATAATTATGGTTTTGCAAACAAAAGTATAGCAAATACATGACACATTGCTAATAAAAATTGTAGTAAATGATGCTACCTTAAAAACGATTTTTAGAATTTCAAATTTAATATTTTTAGCACTATTCTTAATGTACTTGAGATGTCAACAATTTCATGTTTGAAAATTAGGTGTTTCATTTGCAGGGTATAAAAATCTACCACATTCTGCAATATTACATCCATTCTAATGAAAGTAAAGTAATTTTGCCTTTATATATGGTTCTAAAAGACACCTTATTACATAAATATTTCTTTTATTTTCCTGCTACTCTGTGCCTCTCAGTTTAACTCTTACCTAAAAACATTCCAGGTAGATCCTATGCCCTCTTTCCATGTTAGCATATTACTATGCAGAGGATGAAAATGATGCTTTAGGGAGTTGGCAAAAAAAACAGGACTCTAGAATCAAACCCTGGCTCTGACACTTCCTAATTATTTGACTAGGAACTTAATTAACTTCTCTGAGGCTCAGCTTCCTTATCTCTAGAATGGTGATAGTAGTACATACACCCATAGGGATTTTGCAAAGATTTTGAGTTAATACAGGTGTGGTACTTAAATGCTGCCTGGCATATGGCAAGCACTTCATAAGTGCTCACTACTTAAGGAAAATTTTCAATGACCTAACAAAATGTTCACAATATTTTTTAAAAGAAAAAAAGCAAAACAGTATAGAAAATTGAGAAAACATACAAAACACCCTGATTAGCAGGACTGTGATTAGTTTTACTTACTCTTTTACACTTTCCTATATTTTCTAAATTATTTGCAACAAATTTTAACTTGTTTTATTAATCAGAAAAGGTTTTTAAAAGCCTTTTTCAATTTCAAAGTGAAAAGCAAAGTTTATGTCTAATGTCAAGTGATTTCATATGAACTGTAAGTTACCACAGTTAAAGGATTACCTTTTGATACACTGATTAGAAAATCTATTCAAATTCAATTATGTTCTTTTCCTTCATACCTAACACTCAACATCTAATTATCATTTATTACAAAGTTATACTAGGTAAAAATTAAACCTATGAATTTTCAGTTTTTAATGAAGTGTCTTCAAAAGTGTGAAAAAATGAAACCATTCTTCACACACTACTAAAAATAGCCAAAATTTCTAAGCACTTTTCATGTATCATTGCATTTGGTTTACACAACAACCTAATACAGTGATTGTCCCTTTACAAGACTCAAGGTACAAAAAGGTTAAGTAACTAGACATGGTCAAATAACTAGTAATTCACTGGTAAGTCACATCCTTAATCAAAGGAGGCAATAATACACAATGGAAAGACCAAAGGTGTTATATCAGACTTGAATACTGTCTATAAAATTTAAGTTTTGTGTAGTCATGCAATATATGAAAGTCATCTACATCTTATGTTAGTGTTGTAAAAAGGAATTTGAAAAAATAATAGCTATTACTATGCTGAATTGGTTTATCTTCATCAGTTCAGAGAATATCCTATAAACAAATGAACTAATTTTAAAAAATAATCAACCAAATGTGAGCATCAATGGTTATTACTGCCTCACGGGGGGGGGGGGGATAAATTAAATAAATAAATAAATAAATAAATCAATAAATGCAAGCTTCCCTAACAGTTTTTAAAAACATTTTTCAAAATCAGAGTTGAATACAGAATTAATTCTTAATAAAAATGCTGCTGAGAACCCACTTATGAAAATGCATACCTTTCATGGCTTCTGACTTAGCCTCTTCAATGGATTCATAAATCTTATTTTTATCTGCCAGCCGTGCTTTTGTAGCCTTATGTTCCGCTTCTTCCTGTTCTAAGCTCTGCTGTATAACTTTGAGTTGGTATGTCATATCTATTTCCATGTTGTTCTTCTCCTATTAAAGATTTTAAACGGTAGCTATCAACAGAAAAGACTGGCTCAAAATTTCAAAACTTACAAAGGTTTTTTTTACAAGCTTACTGATAATGTTCAATATGTTCCCTCCACTCTTCATTCAAACTTCTTGTAAAAGTAATCTACATACTTTACCTGTTCGCTCCCCACTGTACCCATCTCCCACACCTCCACTCTGTTGTGAGATCCTTGTTGAGATTGCTTGATCTCAATAAAGTGACCAATGATATCTAAGTATCAAATTCAACAGACATTTTTCAGTCTTTATCTCGTCTGAACTCACTGCTATCCTTAAAACTACTTCTTTGACACACCCTGAACCCACTTGGCTCTCCCCATCCTGCTCTCATCCATCTTGTCTAGTGTGAAGTTTTCTCCCAGCTGCCCTTTAAAGGCTGGTGTTCTCTGGAGGTAGTGTTCCTTAGCCATACGCTTCTCCTCTTCCTGTATCATTATTTCTCAAACTTTTAAAACATACCTAATTTCTCTTTGTTCTGTCTTAAAACAAAAAACAAAAAGCAAAAACAACCCCCCAAAAAGCAGCAAAACCCTTAGGATCCTCCACTATTCACCCTTATTTTCCACAAAGGGGATTTGTTTTAAGTTGAGAATCTTTAACAGAAGTCAGTCTATTTTCTGCATACCCCCAAAGATTTTCTAATTCTTTGTTTTCTGTAGATTATATTATAAATACAGGTATTTCTTTTGTTTTTCAATAATGAAAATGATTTTTTTCAAACTACACAATCCACCAACAGAGTAATCTGCTCTGCCCTGAAAAACTGCTGTTCTAAGCAATCTCTTTCCAGATGGGCTCTTCCATTCGCATGGTTTGAGCTACTTCTATTCCTAGCTGCTGCTACTACCAGAGCTTATTGCTTTGCAGACATGCTAACTTGGCTGTCTCACAGGTACCTCGGTACCTCAAACTTGGGACTAAAATATATTTATCAATATATTTTATACAGCTCTAAATATATTTTAAATAGCTCTAATAAAAGAGCTATTTCTCCTTTACTCGTTATTAATTAATGGCACCAATATAGATTTCATCACAAACTAGGAACCTGGAACTCACCCTTGAGTACTATTCACATGACACATCTAACGAATCACTAAATGCTGCCAAATATTTCTCAGCTTCATCCCTATTTTCCACCCTTTGAACTACTGTACTAGTTACAGTTAAGTCTCCATTATCTGATTTAATGAAAAAGGCTCTGACTAGTCTAACTACTTCATTTTGTCCTCCTCAAACCTGCTGTCCACATGGCACACAGTGATCTATCTTAAAAGTACCTCTAATAAAAATCATGTAATTTGAAACCCTTCAGTGGCTAGTCTATTACTTAGAGCAACTAAGTTTTTTAGCAGAGTATTCAATTATCTTGCATGATCTAGTTCATGCCTACCTCTGAAACCTCACTCTGGCCAGTGAATTCCTCACACTCAACAAGAGGAACATACTGTGGTCCTCAGGGCTGTTTCAGCCTGATGTCTAGTTTTATAAAATTTCATTAGATCATAGCCATGCCCATTTTTTCACATACTTGCATCAGAGACCATATGGCCTGCAAAGCCTAAAATATTTACTGCTTTTCCCTTAAAAGATTAAAATTTGTCGACCCCTGTGCTAATACGCCAGAAATATTGAACAGTTTGTACTTAAATAAACCTACTATGACTTTTTAATTTTCTATCCTCTTATGTTCACACTGTACTCCCCAACTCAGAATGTGCCTTTATCCTGGCAACCAATCCTGCCCCGTCAGATTAGGGACTCATTCTGTGCACCCAATATACCCTGCCCATACCTCCATCATTCTACTCACCACATTGTACTAGAATTATCTGTGTGCTTTACATTACTTTACAAATTACTCATTATTAGACTGTGAGATTGTTAAGGGCAAGGACAGCATCCTCATATTTCTAATACATATGATACACTAAATACTTAAATGAACAAATAAAAAAATGCATGAAAATCAAATATTAACTGCATAGAGCCTAGAAATTATTCCTGGCTTACAGTATTTTTTTTAAACTTCTGAATGAAAAGCCATGATAACTTTATGCTATTTTAAAGAAATGGTGTAAGTCAAAAATCCGAGTTTCCTTTGGATGCCTAGAGAGAAGCATCTTCTCTCTCTATATATAGAGCATCTTCTCTATATATACTCCAGGAGAATCCTTCCCTTCCGAAGTATCTAACATACTAAGGGCTGCTTGTACAGTGTTACAGTAAACCTTAAAATATATATCCCTAGTCTACATAACCAAGTGTAAATATTAAAAAGTCCATGAGTATTCAGAAATATTTTAGTTACTAATTTTCCTTATTTTAGAATGAGTTTTTCAACCCGAAACTCTAGTCATTTTCTTACACAAATACAAAACTTAACATGTTTTACCTTTTCCAAATCAGTAAATCTCTCCTGTAGTTGTCTCTTCTCCACCTCTACTTTTGCTAATAAGATTTTGCCATTCTTTAAATCTTCTTCTAGGCCAGATATTCTACCTAAAATTGTAACATTTTTAAAAACAGTAAACTCATATAGTGTACACATTAAGAATAAAAAATTTAGAATTCACATATTTTAACAGTGTTATTTTTAAGCAGAACTTTAATGATTGTTAGTAGGGTGCTTTAGTTAATTCAACTGGAATCAAATCTACCACTTTCAGAAGTGGTATATTACTAAAAATACTTCATACTATTTGAAAGTAAATCTTTCATTCATAAAATTTTGTTATCAATGTATTTCTTTCTAAATCCTAACTTTACATAACAGAGTAGTATATTCAGTAGTATATCCATCACATTATCCATCATCTAAAAACTCAAATCATTAAGATGAATTCAAGTGCAAGCTCTTCTTTAATACCTTGTAAATCATTAATAATCTCTGATCCATGGGTCCGGTCCCTCCTTTCAGATTCGAGAACTGACTGGAGATTAATAAATTCCTTTTCAAGTTTTAACTTGGCAGTCTCCAGCAGGCAGTTTTTATCTTGTAGATCTCTATTGTTAGATTCCAGCTGCTGAATCTGTTTTGAACATTCTGCCTGGGTTTTTCTTAACCGGGCTGCAGTATCCGATTCTGTTCGCAGCAAAGCATTGGTTTCATCCAGCTGTTATTCCATTCAAAATCAAACAAAACAACAACAAATACAGGTATATATGATGAAAATACTTCAATTTATTATCCCATTACAAACTATTTAAAATAGACAAAAACTTAAAAATACTTTCCTAATGATTTCCCTTTTAGAATACTGCCAATTAAAATAAATGTTAACAGACAGTCATAAATAAAATTCAATATCCTTATTATACATTGGGATCAACCTACTTGTCTCTGGAGTTGATTCACTTTCTCAGTAGATATCTGAGAGTTCTGATTTCTTTTTTTCAAATCTTCAAGTTGATCTTTTAAACTGTTAACTATGATAAAAAGCATTTCAGTGGCAAGCTTCAACACACACACATACACAAACACTTAATTTTTTCTTAGTAAGTATTTAATATTCTACACCACAAACCATCATTTTCCAAATTTCGTTTCTTGTCTGCTTCATGATCAGCTTTCCGCTGATATTCTGCATTTTTGTGCTGAAGAAGCGCCTTCTCTCTTTCTAATTGTCTTAATGCTGATTCCACATTTTTCCGTAAGTTAATCTGAAATAATGCTTGAGGTTATTGTCAAAGGAAAATATGTATAAAAATCAAATAAAAACAAAAATATTCCAGTTATAGCAAATAGATTAAAAAAAGACCTTTAAAAAAGCTATTAACTGCTATTTTGTCAAAACTACGTTTTCCATGTTTTTAAAATAGCATACTATTCTTAAATAAGCAAGACCATAAGTGTTTTACTATTAAAAGTCAAAATTTCCATAACATTCCATCACCACTGAACCATCTTTACTTAATACAAACTATGAATCTAAATAAAAAAAAGAAACAACCGTCAATTTCCATTTTAAGCCATGTCATTAACATGAATACAATTTTTTAACTTGAAATATCTATGTATGCTAAATTAACTCATTTGTAAAAACTCAACAAAAGTAGGCTATTATTAAGGTTCCCTCTAATTTGAGCTCTGTCCACCAATGATACAAGGCAGATTTTACTATATATCAAGACATGTATTAATATGGTACCAAGAGAACTCTGCAGATAAGTTAGGCATCAAAGCTTTTTATGAACAAAAATGTTAATAAAAGTGTAGAGCAACTTTACCTCTTCTTCTAGCTCCTTTGCTACTTTCTCTAGACGAGTATTAACAGATCTAAAAAGTTTCAAAGGAAACAGTAAATAACTCTCTAATTTACAATAAAGACATTTACCATAAATTGTAAAATAATTATATAATTACTTTGTAGCTCTCCTTTTTTAGTAAAATGTTTAAACTTATATTTTAAAATATAACATTTAATTATCTACACAACATACTTGCACTTCTGCTCTAGTTCCTCTTTGGCTTGTATCTCAGTGCTAAGGTGTTCTTCTAATGTGTACAGTTTTTTCTGAATCTGTCAGAAAGTAAGAAACTATAATTATAAAGTTTGATCACATTTAAACGATGAGAGGCTTAAAACAATGAGAATCTTCTCTTTCAACTTAATAAGGTATAGTAGTTGCACCTTCTTAATGTGATTTTTATTGACAGAGGGAAAAAAATCCTCCATCTCTTCTTTCTGACTATCACAGTACAAGTGTATGTATAAACACACTATGTAAACATGAAAACGAGATGCTTTAATTGCAGCAGAATTCTTTTATGATGTCAAGTTTCTTATTCATTATGAATAAAGGATATCCTCTGATATCCTTCATTGTTCTTTTTTAGATTATTTATTTAAAAACACTATCAACATTTGTGCTTACAAGGTAATAGATAAAAGGTCTATATTTGAAACAAGTATTTGGAATATTTGAACATGCTAAAAATATATTAATATATTCTTAAAATGGGGTGGGAAGGGATAAATTGGGAGTTTGAGATTTGCAGATACTAACTACTATATATAAAATAGATAAACAAGTTTATACTGTATAGCACAGGGAACTATATTCAATATCTTATAACTTACGGTTAAAATTATGAAGACAAATATATGTATGTTCATATATGACTGAAGTATTATACTGTACACCAGAAATTGATGTAACGTTGTAAACTGACTATACTTCAATAAAAATTTATTAAAAAATAAGAATATAAGACCTTCCCATTTTCCAGAGAAGACATACAGATAGCCATCAGACATGAAAAGATGCTCAAAATCACTAATTATTAGGGAAATGCAAATGAAATACACAATAAAATATTAATTACCTCACACCTGTTAGATGGCTATCATCAAAAAGACAAGAAATAACAAAAGGTGGAGAGCATGTGGAGAAATGGGAACCCTGTGCCCTGATGATGAGAACATAAATTGGTACAGCCACTACAGAAAATATATGTAGATTCTTCAAAAAGATAAGGACAGAACTACCATACAATCCAGCTATTCCACTTCTGGGAATTTATCTGAAGAATATGAAAACACTAATTCGAAAAGATATATGTCCCTAATGTCCACAGCAGCATTATTTACAATAGCAAAGATACGGAAACAACCTAAGTATCCATCGATGGATGAATGGATAAAGACAGTGTGGTACATATAAACACTGGAATACTACTCAGCCATATAAAAGAATGAAATCTTGCCATCTGCAACATGGATGAACTTTGTGAGTATTACATTAAGTGAAAGAAGTCAGAAGGTGAAAGACAAAAAGTGTACGGTATCATCTATGTGGAAACAAATTTTTAAAAAGGAAAGAAAAAAACAGAAAAAAACTCAAAGACAGAGAACAGACTGGTTGTTACCAGAGGGAAAGGGGGTTGGGGGTGAACAAAATGAGTGAAGGGGGTCTAATGTATGGTGATGGATGATTACTAGACTTTTGGTGATGATCACATTGCAATGGACACAGATGCAGAATCATAATGCTGTACACCTGAAACTTATATATAATGTTACACACCAATTTTATCTCAAAAAAAAAAAAGGAAAGAAAAGAAAAGAAAAGAAAAAGAATATAAGCTCTTCTTTATATCTTCCTACACTGTGCCAGGCACAACACAGTAAAAAGTTGTCATCAATAACTATTTTGGATAAATGACAGCTAATTAATTACAAGTCATCTTGCCATACTTTAACTCTTCTTATCAGCCTGATATGTTAATCTTTAAACTAACTTTAGTAGTAGTAAAGTACAGAAAATAGTAAATAATCCATTTTTGGAGCATTATTGCCTGTATAAAGAATAAAATTTTTGAGTTCCTTTTGTGTTTTAAGTATAATAGCAGGAGGCACTTTACAAATATTGTCCCATTAGTTTAAACAAAAACTAAAAAGATGGGTAGTGTTGTGTCTATTCAATAAAGAGATCCGAAAAAGGTTAACAGCTAGCAAGTGGCAATGCCCAAAATAGACCCAAGTCTGTTAGATTCCAATGCCAATGTTCTTTCCACTATGCTTTATTAGGTTCTCCATGATTTCTTAAATATTTCATGTATCTTAAGCAAAATTGTTTATTTTCCTAGTAATAAAATATAGGCCAGTAACTAGTCAAGTTTAACAGCTTTTGGCTGCTACTGCATTAGTATAATTTGATCACAACAGTTATCACAAGCTAATCCAAAGTTCTTGCTGCTAGTTATATATCCTTAATAAATAAAAAGAAGAAAATTACATAATACATATTTTAAACAACAGAGCCATAAGAGCAATAATGAAAGGAATACTTGGTAGAAAAAAGGTTGGGAAATTCTCTCTTGGGTAGATGAAGTACTCCAAAGCTAGGTAGAACATGATTATATCAAAACAGCGCCAGAGTGGTGAGTGTTTCTGTTTTTCAACATATTTGACTTCAACATACCTCTTGACTTTCCTATTTAAAACAAAACAAAAATAAAAATGCTTGTTATGCTCTGTAAAATGCCTAAAACACAAATCATACCAAAATTATCTTACCAATTCTTTTTAGTTTTTATAAGTTTTGAAGAGAAATATGTTTAGCATCCTCATTTATGTGTATATATGTGTGTATGATTTAGCTCTGTATGCAGTTACAAATTATAGATGTCACAAAATAACAGTACATAAAACTTTTTTTAAAAATTGCAACAGTTTGATAAAACTATCCTTCATATGAATTGATTGATAAATATTCAAAATTTAAATCTCTCTACTATTTCTGTATTCTTATAGCTAATTATCTATATTCTTTTATAATACTTGTAGTATTTCCTAACTAATAGAAAAAACAGCTGCCTGTAAACTTATTCCATCACTTTTGTTACTAAAACTAAGCCTAAACCCATGTAGAATTATCTTTTTATTAGCCCTTGGATCTCACACAATGATTCTTGTCAAATATGAATCATTTCAATGTTATGCTGAACTGGACTGCAACAAAAAAATGCTATCTAAAAGTAGCATCAGTGAACTTTTAAAAAGCATAGATATTACTAAAATACTTGGACATGTGATTAAAACAGAGTAGTAAAATTTTATACATACTTCATTCTTCCTTGACTGTATTGAATCATTTTCTCTACAAGAGGGAGGAGAGTCACTTAATAACCTAGAAGGAAAGGCAGGAAATAAATTCTTTTGCATGTCATTTTAATTCATTTTCTAATACTGAGTTATTCTCAGAATTAAATTCCAACCACAAAGACTTTTTCTTTTCACTTCAATATATATTATTAAATGAAGGTATATTTCCCTCTCAATTCTTTCAGATGTTCTAGTCTTAACATTGTTGAGGCTGGAATCACTTCCCCACTTCCTTTCATTTTGAGTAACTATTTTATTCTTCTTTTCTAGAAATTTTCTAGAAAGGGATGTCTCTCCTCCTTTTCAAAGATAACATCTCTTGATCTCCAGGTCTTAATACATAAATCATCACTTCTATTTAACTGTCAGTTTCTCTTAACTGGGTCCTTACTCGCTGCTTATAAAACATGCTTGGGTTTCTCCTGGCACTGATATTCTCATTTTAGTTAGTATTACAGTAGTTTTCAGAATACTGTCTTTAGCAGATGAACAACTCATCCTTGTTTGCCTGGGATTTTCTCGATTTTAGCATTAAAGTCCCACACTACATTCTAGGAAACCCCTCAGTCCTGGGCAAACTGTAATGGTTGATCTCCTCATTACATACATGTTAGTATCAAAAATTTCATAAATATGTTTCTCAAATGTCTTTAGTGCTTCACTCAACTATTTAACAGTTTTCAGTGGCTCCTCACTGCCTGTCAAAGTCAAAAGTCCCTTCCCACAGCTGTTCACTATTCTTGCCCTGTCTTTCCCTAAATTCCAATTCCTATCTATTTTCTAATCTTATACCCAATACTCACTGACCAATATTTATGGGATGATCCTGTGCCAAGCTCTGCACTAGATGGAGGGATTACAGGCAAGAAAACCACAGTCTGAGTCCTCCAAGTGGTTAGACAACAGTGATACACACCCTGTATTTGAGCCCTGCTGGACTAGACTACTCTGCTCCCAACCTATGCTTACATCACAAGCTTTTGCTCCCACTGTTAACTTCCCCAACACACTCACCTAACCTCCCTATGTCTTGGACACTCAAAACCTTTTCTTATCTTTAGACTAAAATGCCACCTCTTCCCTGAAGTCTTACCTGACTTCCCCCTACCCTCATCCCAAAGAGATGTGACTTTTATTTTTTGTCTGAACCATCTCAGATCTTTTTGGTACCTTTCTTAAGGCAAGTATCACATTCTACCCTTCATTATGACTATGTAATTCCTTTATATCCTTCATTAGTTGACAAGCTCCTTCAAAAGCAGGTATTTGGTCTTAATCTATATCCCCCAAAGAATACAGAACACTGCCTTACATTCATTTGTAAATGAATATCATATAATAGTCATTGAAAAAATTCAGTTTAAAACAAATTAACACTTTATCTTCCATAATTCAGAGTCTCAAAGTTAAGATAACTCTTTATAGCTAGATGCTAAAAACAATAAAAATGTAACAAAACAAATCACATACAAATTTTCTCTATAATAGGTAAATCCTATAAAAGGCAGCTGATTCCCCACAAAAGCTTTAGGAATTGGAAAGGTTTCCACATCTCCTTTGTCATCTTCAATATCATCAAAATTGCTGCTGTCTATGTCACTGTTGAGTTCAGGTACCACAGGAGCTGCCGCTATTAAAAGGAAAAAAAACCCAAATTATTTAATAATAATATATATGATGAAAAAATATAAGCCACCCTCATCTTGTTTTGTATTACTCATTTTGTATTATTAATATATTAATATTAACATATAGAGATATGTGATTAACAATACTATGATTTACTATAAAAAATTTTATTAATAGACTTTCTATTTTATCGTTTCAAAGATTTAACATTTTGTAGGTGTTTAATGATTATATTAGATCAGTTTTAAACATAGGTAAATCAATTAAATAAGGAAAGCATATATTATTCTAGGTATTAAAATTACAAGCAGTAATAACTTGGTAAACATTCTTTAGCCTTCAGTTTTCTACATTCTTTAAGCAGAAATACTTCTTACTCTTAAGATGAATTAATATCAAGTACACATAAATTTAAAATGAATTACTATGTTTATCCTAGTATTCACCAAAGTATGGTTTCCATAAATAATTACTGATTCATTAATTCAAATATTTGAATTAAAGAATTACATTTTCCCCAATCTGAAAATTATTAAGGGCCATAAAACTTAGCTTGACAAATTAAGAAACCTATAATATTTATTATAGAAGCAGCAGGAAATAAATATATACTAGTTTGTTAAGATACTGAGGTAATATTAATTTAGTTATAAATATTGCTTCAGAACAAACTGAAATGAAACCTCTCAATTTAAAAATTGGCATTAAGTGTTCCAGACATATTTGTTAATTCAAAAGAGGAATCAATTTTTGAGATTTAAAATGTGCTGGAATGGAAATATTTAAAATATTTAAATTTATTGACTTACTCTCTCTTATGTTATCCCAATTCCACTGATCATTCTTAAAGAAAGGATGTTGTTTGATTTCTTCTACCCCATTTCTCCCAAGTCGTACCTCCCTAAACAATGCAGTTAAAAATTGTATTATAAAGAGTAAGATATTATAAATACAACTCATCTCAACAAGAATTGAAATGAAATAAGGATCACAAATGAGTTTGAGCTTAAAAGCTTCAGCTTAAATGTTTCTCAAAAATAAGCAATCTCAATTTTATAGTATATGATAGTAAATGCTATGGAAAAGAAAACACGTTTCCATCTATACTTTGTGTCAAACGTACATATGAGACTTTTAATTAAAAAAATCACTGGTGTGTGCCAAAACCACAAGACCAACTTCAGGATGTAAAATGGATGGAGGTGTAACTTTTGACACAGAAGAGTTTTTCAAAATCTCTCTAATGAAATGTTATTTAAAAAATTCTCTCCCCTTCTTAAAAAGAACTCATATATTATGTTTGAAGCTATCCATATTTGCTCTAGATATCTCTATACTTATATTAAATATAAATTATTAAATATAAATATACATTACACTAATATTAAAATTATCATTGTCAACATAAGAAAAATGTTACTAATAATTTTATTCTCTGACCTTTTGAGTTTTCAATGAAAACTGTATGGAAATAAAAACTATCTGTTTTTTTAATGTGCCCCTGGAGTTACGTTTAATATAAACATGAAAACCTATGAACTTTTAGAGGGAAGTGCTCCTAGCCATACTAATGCCACTAAATTCTATTAACATACACTATATCAAACTGTTTTATATTTTACGTTTCAACACAAATTATGGTCATCCCCCATCAAGCCCATCATCCAGTCCTCAAATAAAACATTATACAGAATTTGAGCTTATCAGCATAAATTGTTTATTAATCAGGTAATTGATAATCTTAAAGTTTTCTTTTACAAATCATTGATAAACATATAAAAATGATTAAGCTCTCTCATGAAAAAAATATAAATAATTTTCCTTGCTTTGTGTGGAAAAAGGAAAAATTCATAACACTTAGTTTGATGACAATTAGGGAAACAATTATTAATAATGGGGGTCAAATTTGCAACTCAAGTAGGTCGATTTTAAAATGTGCATCCCAGAAATCCACCTTTAAGATTTTTATCCTACAGAAAGTATGCAAATATAAATGTATGAGGACAGTCACTGCAGGACTGCTTGTAACAGCAACTGGCTAACAAACAACAAGGTGTGCGGAGGAGTCATAGCACCTTAGAGCTAGAAATGCCTTTAGCTATCATCTAATCTGATCTCATCATTTGAAGAATGAGTAAAATTATTTCCCTCAAAGTTAAAATAATTTTCCTAAAATCATACAGCTAGTGAGTTAAGTCTAGACTGAGGTGCAAGCATCCACTGGTATGTCCTGGTCCTTTGGCTCCTACCACAAATATGAAATGGGAAACCAGGAAAGAACTGACTAGAGAGGGCAAGGAAGAAACTCTGAATAGCTTTCTAGCTTCTCTTTTTGAGGTAGGTTTTCAAAACAATGTTCATCTGTTTTGTTTTGAGAAATACAGACTTTCCAGGACAGAACTGCTCACATTCAAATGCAAATTAAAAGGACTGGGAAGGAGGCACTCCCAAGTCAAACACAGGTATTTTTTAAGATTATTAGTTTTTGAGTTATTTATCTACACAAAATGTTCTTCTCTCAAAAGTTATACAATCAAGAGCAATATAGCTTAACCACCTTAGAGGCTAAAATATGAAAAAAAGTTTTATTTCTCACAAATGCGTTTATTTTACAAAGTTCTGTTTTTCTCTTTTTGGACATGAGGGCTAAGATTAGAGTTGGATTACCACTGAGCTGCACATACAAAATGACAGGGGCAACCCAACACCAGGCTCAGAAGTAGGAAAAGGATAAGCCAGAACTAAATGCAATTCGGATAAAGAGAAAGATTGATTTCGTATGTAAGTAAGAGTTAGGTATGCTTTCATTTCTATAAATCCAAAAGTTAAAGGATTTTCTACAAAGAAATTAAATGCATATTACCTATCTGTTAAGAAGGCACAGATGAGATTCTTCGCATGTTTAGAAATTTCTGCATCTTCAGGGAAACATAGTGAGTTTTTATGATCCATGATTTTGCTGTATGTCCCTACAAGTGAATCTGCATAAAATGGAGTGTCTCCTAAAATTCCAAGAAAGAAGACACAGAATGTAATATAGAATACAAACTAAAATGTTTTACCTAGTATTTAATACGTTAAATTTAAAATTTTCACATTCATGGAAGAACAAAAGGTTTACGAGGAATCTCAGCCACACATCAAGAATATATTTAAATTTTAACCATACCGATGAACCGCTGAACTTAAAGAGCAAAATAAAATCAATACTAGCTCTAGTTAGAATTTGTTGCATTTTTTAATGTATAATAGGAAAAAAACCAATTTATTGAATAATTTAAAAGATTACTAGGTGGGGTCAGATCAGTGAGTCTTCTAATGCTTCAGCTGAATGAGCCTTTTGAGATTACTCTCCAGAGTTGTGTTGTATAATACAGTAGTCACTAGCCACATGTGCAATTTAAAGTTAAAATTAATTAAAATTAAATAAAATGAAAAATTCAGCTCCCTAGTCATACCAGCCACATTTCAAGTGCTTGATGTGGCAGGTGCCTACTATACTGAACAGTGTAGATATAAACCATTCGTGACAGACTAGACAGTGCAGCTCTAAGAGTTAGATCAGCCCTGTCACTTTACGTATGAGGTAGCTAGGCCCAGATAGATGATGTGTAATTTGCCTAAACTGACACACCTAGAGTTGAAAATGGCAGAAAGTCTTCCAATGCAGTGTTCCTGCTAACTAACGACTGTGATAAAGAGGCAAGTGTAAAGACAGAAAAAGTTCAAGGCATCATTTTGGCCAGTATTCATCTAAAGCCACAAGGGTTAAAGGCCTTGCCAGAATGCCTTAACTACAAGTCCCCTTAATACAAACCAGACTTTCCTAAATCAGCCAAAAAGCGGTACTCAGTAGTTATTGTTTGCAAAGGGTGGCAGAGGAGAGCTTTGAATTCAAGATTTTAACTGCAGTGGATTCCTTTAAATGAAGTCCAGTGCCAACCAACCTGAGCAAGCACCAGAGCAGGCAAAGAATACTGCAAATCAGTGCCATTCAAACTCATTAAATTCAGCTCTAAGTTAAAAACAGTAGTAGGAGATTTAATTGGTCTCTTCAAATGAGTCATGGGACTTCCTCCAAAGTACAGTATTCTTTAAATCCCTAGGAGACTCTAGACAAATGAAGGAATATATTCTACTTTCAAAAGATTGTAAGACATATCTAATGCACCATCAGCTAGGACCCAGTGGTGTGGAGAATAGACAGCTAGCTGAGAACATGTGGTGTTTGAAGAGACCCACAACAAAGACAAAGGTTGAAAACAAAGTAGGTCACAGCATGACATGAGACTAGGCACAGCAACATAAATGCTATACACACACAGACGGTCATCAAGAGAAGGCACTTTATGTCACAAAAAAGTTCCATGACTAATTGTTACTTAAATTTCTTCTGATTTTTTAAAGCAACAAGCATACCCAATTATTATACAGATTTTATAGATTTACATTACCAATTTCTTTTAGAGTCATCTCCTAGAGAATAAATTCCCCAACTTCTAAAATTACATTTTCAATTCTAAAGTCATTTCATATAATGATATTAGCCTTAACACATTTGCTTCAGAAAAGTAGACTTAGCTATATCTCGCCTCATCCCTAAGCCAGGTAATTCAGTCACTGGCTACCTTGGTCAGAAGATATTTCTGTGACTCTAGTACTTAGGAATTTAAAAAATGAAATCTATGATATAAATAAAAGTTTTGAAATACATAAGCCTTTCAAATTTTGATTTGGTCAAAGTGAAAGAAATTATTAAACTTGCCTCTCAGTTTTCTGAGATCAAAACATTATAAAATACATTCATCTTGATAGTCAAATGGTCAATAATTATATTTATGATTTGTTTTACTGGAATCACTGAATATATATACAAGTAATAAATATAAGAAATACAGCTTACAAAAATTACATAATTACATAAACAAAGTACTTTCAGTTCTCTATTATTATTGAAACAAGTACTAACAGCCTTATAATTTCAAATATTTTCAATAAATACTACTGATTAAGAAAATCTTAGAAGGAAGGCCCATTGCAGCTGTAAACTTGCTTCTTGTTCTAATATTTTGTTAATACAAAAACGTCTATTGGAGGACTACTTTCCAGCAGTATAATTTTAAGTCCTTTCAAATTCTACTCAATCACTGTGGCAGGATGAAGCTTGGTTTTAATTTTACAATAATCAGTCATACCAGAAACCATTAATTCAAAGTTTCCAGAAATTCCACTTCTTCCCTAGGACAGAGGCAATTAATCTCCTTACAGTCTCAAATTCTTGACTTAGTAATACAGTATTATAAGATGGGTTTTGAAAAAAGAACAAGTTAAAATATTTACTTACCCACCAGCATCTCAAAAAGGAAAACACCCACAGACCACCAATCACATTCTCTTCCATAGTAACCATCACCCCCTTGTGATTTCAGAACTTCAGGTGATATATAATCAGGTGTTCCAACTGCTGTATCACAATGCACCATGCCTGTCTGGGTGAAGTACAAAGAGAAAGAAAGATGTATATAAAATGTGTGTAAACACATACACGCATAAGCAAAACTAATTCATTTATTCTTACAGATACAGTGACTATACATTGCTACCAACAGACCTTCATTGTTGACATGGCTTTGGAAGGACAGGGGATAAATACATTATAAAATGCATACAAATGTCTGGATTATGGGAGATCAGGGATAATTTTCGAACTCTGAGATACAGAAAGCTTCATCAAAGGTGGTCAACTCCATGGGAATTCCATGTAAATCTACATTTTTTTGTTTCTTTTTCTAACACTATAAGTTACAAGGGAAGTACAAAATGTGGTCTTAAGGCACCTAATCTGGGGGAAAAAAAAGAATCATTAGAGAAAGGAAGCTTTGATATTTCCAAAGAAACTGCAGTAATTAAGATTAAGGCCTCTAGAGGATGGATAAAAGAAAATGGTTCTTCTTAGACCAAGAAAAAACTGGAGGAAACAGATCAAATGTTTAAATCAAGATCTTAATAGTTTGAGAGCCACACCTCCAGGTTGTATATTTAGAATACAGAGCTGCAGCATCAAGATATTTGGCAAAATGATAAAAACACCCCTTTCTATGTTTAGTTTCAGTGAATAATAAGATAATCCCTATCTGATGTCTTTTTGACAAGGGTAAGAACCATTGTAGATATGAACTATGTGTGTATTTTGTAGCATGTGTATTATATATATTTGTATTATGTGTATATTTTGCAAGATTAAACCACTATAGGATACAGCAGTACAGTGCTGAGTAACCCTTGTTCATCTCCAGCTCTGTTCAAACTTGCAAAGATTTTACATGTTAGTCTAAATGCCCTTCATATCCTTTACCTGCCTAGTAAAGAATGTGTCACCTACATTCCTTCTAAGGAAGCTATACAAACTACCAAAACACTAAGTATTATGACCACCTTGGTAAAAGGAAGTTTAATGTATTTATAAACATGATTTGTGTAAATATTTTTATTTAAGTGTAATAAAATATGTTAAATATGGGAAATTCACTTCAAAAGCAACCTTTTCATTCCTCAAATCAACAGGAATAACTTAATGATTTTATTTTTCCAAGTATACAGCAAGTAGAGGTCATTTTTAGACTGAACATTAATTAATAAAATTAACATTTTGCAAATAATTGAGCAAATTATGAGGGTAATGGTTTATATGGGTTACTACTTAGGATAAAAAATGAAGAAGACAGTGCCTGACTACAAAAGGCAGGGTATACAGTTAATTTTTATCATGAACTATCCTATATTTTAGACTTCTACTGGAGGAAAATTTTACATAGAGACTTACAGGGTAAACAAAATCTCATTTCACACGTATCCACAGAAATTAGACTTCAAAAAAATGGATCTTGCGAGACTTAAGAGCCAAAACGTAACTGGACACACACACACACACACACACACAACAATGCCACTAAAAGAAAAATTATTTAGCATTCAAAGGTTCAGAGGAAGACGAGAAAAGGGTAAAACACAAAAAAGAATTGGTATAAAGTTAGGCTGTAAAGGATAGACAAATTAGGCTTCAAAGGAAAGAAAGTTGGTATGGAAACTCAGAAAAAAGGGCAAAAACAAAGGAACAAAAATTACTTTATATAAACCAAGTTCAAGAAATGCAGTGAAGTCCAAATGAGCCTAAACGTAAAGTTTCACAATGATGAAAACGGCAAAGGTAAGATGGAAATCAGTCTGAATAACCAATCACTTACAGAGTAAGTATTTTGGTAGGACTGAGAAATTTTTACTAGGTAAACTATGTCACTGGTACTCTGCTTTTAAAAAATTAATATTCTAACCACAATTTCTGGCAAGCATACTGATGGTTAAAACTTTTTTAAGTAAATATTTGGAAAGGATATTTAAACACTGTCTCATTGGGAAATTCTCAAATTCGATGAATATATAATCTATATTTATGATAAATTTCTCACCCTATTCTAAAGAAATACAGGAAAGCTAAACCAGAAACTAAATTAAAGATTGATTTATCTACAGAGGGTGAGTGGAAAAGGGGTAGAAAGAAGCCAGTATAGGAAAAGAGAAGTAGGGCAAGGAGGCAGTGATCCGTCTCTAAGAATGCAATTTGTTTAGTTCTGACCCTTAAACCAGAGAAATGCTTCACATATCCAAAAATTAAACAATTAAAATCAACTGGATATGGGGTAACTCTAAATGGAATACCAACGGTAAGAAATGAACCTGTTTCATAAATTAAATAACACAATCACACCAAAGAGGGTTGGGAAGAAAAGAACTGACCTAGGTAACTCTGGAAAACAGTTATTTTAAATGAATGCTATACTGCTAAACACAAAAATATCTGCACATAACACATCCTAGTTAGTAAATCTGTCTGTCACAGGAGTAAGAGATTGGCAATTTGAAACAAATTTTATGTGTATACTAGGGTTGAACAAGTGTAGATAACAACAGGTTTCTCATTGTCCAAAAAAGAAAAGTGCAAAAAGAAAGGAGGAAGACTAAAATGAACCCTGTGGTGCAGGACTACAATCTGAAGTATCAATATGAACTCTTAATTTTTAATATAGTTTATATACAAACAGATAAGTACAGAATTAAATATGAACATGTGTGTGTATGTGGGTTAGTAAATATAGTGTATACAATATACATATGTCCACTGATAGTGCCTAGAAGTAGTAACATTCTAAGAGCAATGGGTGTATCTGGTACCCAAGTATTGACTGACATTTATTTATTTATTTTTATTGAAGTATAGTAGATTTACAACGCTGTATTAGTTTCTGGTATACGGTGTGGTGATTCAGTTATATTTTTATACACACACATTCTTTTTCATTGCAAGTCACTACAACCCATTGAATATAGTTCCCTATATTTCATTGAATACAGTAGGACCTTGTTCAACTATTCTGTACACAATAGTTTATATCTGCCAATCCCAAACTCCCAATTTATCCCTCCCTCCCCCTTCCCCTGCTGGGAACCACAAGTTTGTTTTCTATGTCTGAGAAGTTTCTGTTTTGTAAATAAATTTGTTTGTAGCATTTTTTAGATTCCACATATAAGTGATATCATATGATATTTGTCTTTCTCTGACTGACTGACTTCACTTAGTATGATAATCTCTAGAATCATCCATGCTGCCAATGACATTATTTCATTCCTTTTTATGGTTGAATAGTATTCCTGTGTGTGTGTGTGTGTGTGTGTGTGTGTGTGTGTGTGTGTGTGTGTGTCTGTGTGTCTGTGTGTGTATCTCACATGTTCTATATCCAGTCATCTGTCAATGGACATTTAAGTTGCTTCTATGTTTTGGCTATTGTAAAAAGTGATGCTAAGAATACTGGGCTGCATGTATCTTTTTGAATTGAGTTTTCGCCAGATATACACCCAGGAATCACATGGCAGGATCATACAGTAAGTCTATTTTTAGTTTTTTAAGGAACATGCATACTGTTCTCCATAATGGCTACACCAATTTGCATTCCCACCAACAGTGTGGGAGGGTTCTTTTTCACCATACCTTCTCCAGTACTTATTATTTGTAGACTTTTTAATGATGGCCATTCTGATCAGCGTGAGGTGGTACCTCGTAGCTCTGATTTGCGTTTCTTGAATAATTAGTGATGTTGAGCATTTTTTTCATGTGCCTGTCATCTGTGTGTCTTCTTTGTAGAAGTGCCTATTTAGATCTTTTACCCATTTTTTGATTGGGTTGTTTTTTTTTTGCTATTGAGCTGTGTGAACCACTTGTATATTTTAGAAATTAATCCTCTGTTGGTTGCATTGTTTGCAAATATTTTCTCCTATTCCATAGGTTGTCTTTTTGTTTTACTTATGGTTCCCTTTGCTGTGCAAAAGCTTTTAAATTTAATTAGATCCTATTTGTTTATTTTTGTTTTTATTTCCATTACTCCAGGTGACAGATCCAAAAAAACACTGCTGCAATTTATGTCAGAGTGTTCTATGTTCTCCTCTAGGAGTTTTATAGTATTTGGTC